GTGTAACGAAAGAATCTGAATTTCTGCAATTCACACTGAAAATGTCCTTGTAGCCCTGTGATGGGTATGTTCTCGTAAAATTGACCATTAATTGCATCAATCATTGCTTTTGCACGTGTCACGTCGAACAAGATGTCCGATACGTAATTTAACGTAATGAACGTAATTTAAAATTTGGTCAACTCACTCGATCTTCTACACATTTTAAATTCCTTCCAAATTAGCACTAATTATTTGTTTCGCGGAGAGCAAGATGTTTGTTTTTGTCAAGGAAAGCAATTTTCGACTTTAGCTGTATTTTCGACTTTTACGAACCCCTGCTGCCATCTACAATGATTCCTGACTACAGGTTTCTGAATCAGCTGTTCGTTTACTTTTCCCACTCTAACAGTTCGAATTGCCGAGAGAAGGCATTCTCGCCAAGTTCGAGGATGACTGCAACCAGGACCAAACCCCGGAAGCCCGTGGTACTGCGCTCAAGGAACTGATGGAAATGCAGGCGAAATCTGAATCTCAACCGACAACCACGCAACAAACGCCTTACTACGTCGACATTGTGCAATACCAGGGGACCAAGCATGAATTGGGATGGAACCAAAATTGAACCCGAAGCACATGGACCAACTTATTCTGCTGAAACTTCCGTCCACGACGCTGCCAAGGCATGCAAGAAATTCATCTGAGGAAAACCCTGGAGAACACAATTGCGCGAATTTGGCACTGTCTTCTGTTTGATCATTGGCCTGATACTCATTGCTTTCAATAAGTGTACGATTTAGAATTATGAAAATATTATAATCTGGCACTGAAAATAAAGAACCGCTATCGATAAAACACATGGTTCAAATTTATTACACCATTCGAGAAGCGACACCTGTGTCCAAAGTTTTAAACTGACCGCTGAATACAAAATGCCAAAAATGGTTGAAATTTTGAAATGAAAATTTTAAATTTATAAATGTTAATTTCTAAAACTTGAAATAAGAATTTGAAAAATTTATAAAGAAAACAAATAAAATTTTTGAAAATCTCTCTTCTCATTCCTTTTTTCCAATTTTTGGCGAAAAATCATTTATTTTTTTGCGGGATTCAGGTTGTGATTTTTTAAGCACAATGCAGGGACATTTTTGTGTTAAAGTAGCGCTTCGGCGAAGAGGGTTTTTTTTGCCCCTTAAGTAAAAACTATCAACTTTAAAGGAAAGCTGGTGAAATTGAAAGGCAAAATTTAACTCAGATAAATACATAGCTTTAGGCTATATTGAGAAAAAAAAAACAGAAAACTGATAGAATTTTTTTCAACTTGCTTTTTTGATAGAAAAAGGCAATTCAGATACATTAAATACATAGGTTCGAGCTGTATTTAAAAAAGTAGAAAACTGATAGTATTTTTTTTAACTTGCTTTTTTGTTCCCTTTTCAACAGCATAACTTTAAATTATGCTGTCCAGTTATTCTTCAAGAAACTCAATAATTCTGATATTAATAAATTGAGAAATAGAGTCGGGAAACAAAGTGTAAAATTACATGACATAGTTCTTTATAAAAGGTCCTTAGATGCTTCAAGGTTGGTAGTTTTTACTTAGGGGGCTTGACTCTGTGTAGTGCGTTTTTGTTTTAACTGGTGAAGGGGGGGGGGGGGTCCAACTCCCTCGCTCAATTATAATTCCCATAATGACTCAATCCTTCAACGTAAATTATCGGTTCGCGCAATTTCAAACAAAAATAAAAGCGCGAAGCACCAAGTACAGTATTTTCTTCGTAAATTAAAAAAGATAGTATTTTGAAAAACTAAAATCAAGACGCTGAAAAAAAATCTGTAAAAATGTTGCAAATGAAAAATCCAAGAAGCCATTTTCCAGCAATAAAAGGAAACTAATACGCTAATAATAAAAAACAAACTTAAAAACTTACAGGAAAAGACTGAAAATTTAATCCTTATTAGTTATTACTTTTTCAAGGCATGCGTAACGAATTCTTCTTCCCAGTAAGAAAAATCTGAAGAATCGGGCAGCACTTGTACAACTAAGAAAATGTTGAATCACCAAAAAAATTAAAACAATTTTATGCCAAATTTTTGCAAATACTACTGTACTGTAATTCAAAAGTACGGTGAATCAGCATAATTAAGTCGGGGGAAAGCCTCTTTAAGATACTTCTTCGCACAATTTTAAATCCTGCGTCTTTTTTTTTTCAAACAGAGACAAGCCTGACCAACAGAAAAAAAATCCGGGTGACGAAAACAACATCCGCAACAAAAACAAACTACGTTTTCGCACCAAGTCGAACACGAACAAGTCGAGCAGGAATTGCAATTACCCTTTCAGATGATGAAATTAAATTGACCAATATTGAGCAACTCGAATTCGCCCCTCAAGAGGAAAAACTCTCCGAAGTTCCGGTAACTTATTAGAATCGCCACGAAAATACATCATAACCGTGGATTACCGCAAGAAAACAAACAAAAACAAACTACGTTTTCGCACCAAGTCGAACACACCAATAAGTCGAGCAGGAATTGCAATTACACTTTCGCAATTAATATACTGATTCAAAAACAGCAGCTTACACAAGCTGGTGAAAATATAAAAAAAAAAAACAAATGCTCGTACTGCTGTACAACATAAAAACTCACTATGCAATGAGTTTCCACTTGTCACGTATTGTCCCCGTCTTGTTGCACTTTTCCTTCAGCTTTCAATTTTTCTCAGCTGCATGGACTGTCACGTTTTCCGCTGCAGCAGCATCAGGTAACATGAAATCTCCCAGGCCCTTCAAAAATATATATATATATATTGTCGTTTATGGAATCAAATTTTGCATCACCAAAAATAGAGAATACACTTTTAAAAAAAAAGAATGCGACACTGGGCGTTAAAAAGAGAAAAATTACCCTCACTTATTCTGACTGAATGAGTCATTTATTGCCTAAAAAAAATCAACATCAGCGAACACTCCTCAACATTGAAAGGTAGAGGTAAATTAAACTAATTTATTCAGTTTATTTAGGGGCAGTATCTACTAAGTCCCTTATGTAAAAGATAACTTTTCGATGCAAAAATTTCACATACACGCATGAATTAATCAACAATCATTCACAATAATGACTTTATACGCGAAAATCAGTAAACTGCCTTCGAACTTTCATTAATTATCAAATGAGGGAGAGAATAACCTTTGCAACTTTACTTTGGAAAAAAAAAAACGATGAAAAATCGCTAATTCATCTCACAATTAATCCCTTCATCAGCAATCGTTATTTACAAATCATGGAGATAAGTTTATCTCCATATATAGTGTAGTATATCTGAAGGAAGATATGGAGATTCATAAGCACAGTAAGAATCTTTCTCACAAACCTTATCAGTCAGTTGAATACAGACCAAATAAAAACATCAATGACCAAATGAAAAAAAAGGAACTCACCAGCACTTATTAAACGTCGTCCTCGGCATCAATAAACGAAGCAGACCCGGAATCACTCTACGTCAAGTTACATACAGTATTGTTGTTTCTCTCGTTTGGCTCCCGGTGTTTCGATTGCTGATGCCACATATCCGGATTTTCTCGCAGGGCTGGCGCCTTTCCGACCGTGCCAGACCTGAGTCCATCCTCCTTCATCAAAATAAAGGGCAATGCTCAAGATCTCCCAACATGAAATACTCCATGTATCGTTCACAACCCGTATATGTATTATCATATCCCGCATTTTACTCAAGTACCTTCAATTTTTAAGCTATAATTTTGGAGAGGAAAATGCTTCCCTGCATGAGACACGCTCCATACAGTGTTTCAGTTCCCAAAATTCATCAACTAACTACAGTACAGTATTTACTCCAATTTCTGATGCTTCATCATTTTGCGCATAATAGAAAAATAACATCATAAAAGAAGAAACCTTAAAAGACATTCGGAAACGGGGGAATCAAGAGTTCAGGAAATATACTGTAACAATTGTATTTTACGCGCTACATGAACACCAACCAACTTTTACCTGATCCATGCAAACAATTACGAAGAATCATGATAAAAGAAACCTTGAAAACATTTAAAAGTGGAGGGAAAAGTTGGAATTAAAATTCTTCTTAGAAAGACGCAGTGCGTTTTAAACTCATAGGATGCAATGGGTGAAAATCTGAAGGTCCATGTTTCGTCTTGAGTAATGAATAACGAAGCAATCATGAAAGAAGAACAACAACAAGTAGTACTGTGCTCAATAAGCATGGTACATACAGTACTCAAGCATGATGACGGTGAAAATGCATTACTGATCTCCAGTACAGTATTGCCCTTTTTTTAACCCACTCTATTTTAAAAGGGACCACGGCGGTAGACTCAAAAGGTCAGGCAAAACTTGGCACAAAGGCCATAATAAAAATGGCGTCCAACATCCTGCATCATTTGTTCGGCTCGTCGGTAGCCCAGGCCTCGTAAATGCAAGATATGTACATTAACTCACTCAAATACATTGTCATCACAGCTTATTCTCCCGCAATTAGATGTCAGCTTCCCCCGGCAACTGCTTCATTATTTCACCAAAACGACCCAGTTCTTAGCCCTTGGGCGGCGAAGTCGGACTTTTTCCTGTCAGTGAGAGAAGCTTTTAAAAAAAATCACAACAGTGCATCCAGGGCGAAGTCGGGAAAAATCCTGGCGTATTTTTTAAATACTGCAGAAAAATTTTGCCCAAAAATGAAAAAAAGCCATCTCCAAGGCTGAGCTTTTTTTCATCTCATCCCTGGATTAGTTATATTATTTTCAGCTTCTTGGCCCTTTCATTTTGGTCACCAGAAGAAGGGTTCCCATTTAGAGGCCACAAAAGATTAGCGGAAAAAGTCCGACTTCGGGAAATCACAACAACACATTTTTGCCGGATAAAGTCCGACTTCGCCCTAGGCCACCTGGCTGGGCTTTCATGGCCTTCAACAAAATTTAAACCTGGGCCCACCCGAGAAAATCCGTATCTCGTCCCGCAATGGGAAAGAGCCTGTCGCCGCGGAAGGGTTAAGCAGTCATCAATCCCAGCCACTGAAAGGCCCGACGCTCTTCAGACAAAATCACTGGAGTTGTGGGGTTCCTCAGCTTTGCCAGCCAATAAATCACACTTTTTGGCTCACCCTTCACTATAAATACTGTTGACAGAAAAAAAAAAAAAAAAACATTGGGTATATAAATACTTGCATTCCAAGTTTAAAAAATTCTTTTTTTTAAATCTCACTTCCAAAGTCCTCCTGAAATTGGAGTCAACTTCTAAATCAGCTGCTCTGAGTCCAGCTTCTTCCTCAGTTTGTCCGAGTGCAGTTTGCATCATGTCATTCTCACCAGGGTCCGCATGTCCTGGAAGAATGGATTCAAAGCTCAGCACGAATCCATTTCATCAATTCACAACAGTACGTGATTCGAACCTTTTCGAGGTGTCCAATGGAAAGTACCATCATAGGGAGTCTGCATCATGAGGTATTCAAATGTCACTCCATTCAAATGTCTGCTGTATACACCACTATAGTCCCCTGCTGCTCTCTTCATGCCTCGTCAAAACACTTTTGTCTGAAATACACAAAAGTAAATAGGTACAGTACTGTATTCTCCTTCACTAGGGGCACTTCAGGAATATTATTTTCGTTCAAATGCCAACCGCAGAAATAGCTCAACACCCTTGTTCATTTCCATTCACAGCAGACTTCACACTGGACGGACGCCGATTTAACAAAACTAATTTCCCCACTTGGTTCAGTCCAGAACCAACCAACAAACTACCTTTCAAAGCCACCACTTGAAAACAACAACAGAAAGGCATTGCGAAATTCACAAAATACAGCAAATCCACACAAAAAGGTTCCCAAAAGGATTGTCAATTTCCTTCCGGGATGTTCAAATACGGCTTCTTTAGCAGCACCCGCCATCACAGCCACGTCTCCAGACTGCCTGAGCACAAAAGGCAACTCAAAGTGCAGACCAACTTCATCCCTCAATGCCCGACTCTTGATCAACGCAGACCCCGTGCCCAGAATGCCCTGAACCCCAGATGCCCGGAGGATCTTGACTGGCAAGCAACAAGTTGCTCACAATTATAAACTTCCGTGGCACAGGGCATGGGTTATTCCGGAAGCACTGAACCCATCCGGTCCCACATTGGAAATGCTTCCCCGACTGGCAGGAAGATGACGCTCGCCAACCAACAATGGAGACGCTGTAATGTTGGTGTTGAGGGCATCATCGCCAGCTGCTGCACGTGTCAACACCTGCAATTGTTCCAGATGGAATTAGAAGACACTCGACCAAAATAAAAACTGCATAATAAATTGAATAAAAAAAAATATCATGTTGGTTTTGAAATATTGCACAGTGAAATCTAGTCACAAACAACTTCTGGTGACTTGAGACTTTTTTTTTTTTTTCACTAGACAGTATAAAAATAAATATTAGAATAAATAAATGTAAAAATTATTTTTTAAATATTAAATAGAGTTAACAATTATGTTGGGGATTTCCAAATTCTTGCAAACCCCTTTCTGCCAGGACTTGAGAAAAAGTTTGTTATACTGAACTAAAAATTGGGTTGGAACAATATTTTACGTGCTCAACTCAGTATTTACCTCAGCCTCCAACAGAAATTCATTGAGAATTAGTTTAGATTCATTTTCTAGGTCATTTGAAGAAAATTACGTTGCATTTTCTCATGACAATTCAAAAGTATTCCTGAATGTGGATGCATCTGATGAATTCTTGGTTTTTCACACAATTTCCAGACATGTTACTGAAATTTGAGCCTCTATGACATTTGCTTGAGAAATGCAAGAATACAATAGATTTTTAAAGAGATATAAGCTTTCAAGGGAAGACAAAATTGTTTTTATGCACAACATTCATTGGAGAATGAAAAAAAAAAAAAAAAACAAGCACACAATCAGAAGACTCCTCATAAAAAAAAAAAAAAAAAAAAAAACAAGCACACAATCAGAAGACTCCTAATTAAAAAAAAAAAAAAAAAAAGAGACAAAGTCGACAACCAACCTGCCAAAGGATGTCATCAGCCACTGCTGGGACCCCAACCAACTTGAACACTTCACTGAACATGGCAATCCATTTGGCAAGAACATTCCCACCATTGAGACCAGCAGCTACAGCCAAAAATGTTTTTCCTAAATATTGCCAGTACTGAATTGGCTGAAACCCATCTCCTTCCACCTCTTGGAAAATAAAAACAACAAGATCAATGGGTCACCACTCCATAGAAACCTCAGTTTACAAAATGGAATATTTTTTATCCACAGATACAAATTTTTAGGACACAATTAAATCCAATTTAGGGATCAAAATGCATCAAGTTTTGTGCATACACTTTCGGAATTGTTTTCCAAGAAAAGGCAAACCTTGTAAAAACAGATGAAATTATTAACAAAAGATGTTCGAATTAAAAAAAATCAAATAGATTCTCAAGGTCAACAGGGTTTTTCTGGAGTATTCAGGAGATATCAACTTGGTTCATCATTGACAGCAATTCAGGCACCTATTTCTGGGAATTTAAAAAACTCATTTATTACAAAATATTCCATTTGTTGCACACAAAAAAAAAGAAACTCACACTTGGTTTGAAGTCTGGCTTCATGAAAAAGCCAAGTTGTGCGCTGGTTGAGATATTCAGCACAGCATTCTTGTCGTGAATGCACAATTGCACAGCGCATTGCAAGTCTCCAAACGCCGCACCCACACTAGTACCAACAGGTACTCCACATCCACATCCACATCCACACCACATCTCCTTCAATTTCCCAGCCTTAAACCTGGGTTCCTCCCCTTTGGGTAACGAATGCAAAGGAAACCCCGCGCCTTTCAGCACATCAATTTCCCAGCAACTCAACGCTGTGTCAAAATAACCCAATGGATTATTAGTTCTTCATTTTACACCAGTAAGCCAAACAAATAAAGCCAAATGTTGGACTTACCTTGCCAAATTGTGCCAGACCCAAGTCCAAACCACCATCCATCCTCCTTCATCAAAATAAAGGGCAATGCTGAAGATCTCCTAATGAAATGTGTGTGTCTTTTAGAACAATTATATTATACCACATTTGACTCAAATGCCATGCGCACCTTTAATTTTTAAGCTGTAATTTTTGAGAGGAAAATGCTTCTCCACATGAGACACACACCGTATTTCAGTTCCCAAAATTCATGAACTAATAAATTTATTTAAATGTCCTGTTACTGCAGGACACATCCAGCAGGAAAATGGTGGCAAGAGGAGAAGCAGCAACACCACAAAAAAGAGGAAAAAAATGGGTGTGGGTAAAAAAAAAAAAAAAAGAGACAGCAGTTTAATGTCCATCTGTTCTTGGCACATATGAGAAGAGTATGAATGCAAAAAAAGACTGTTGTGCGTGTGAAAAAGGAGAAGATAAGCACATCTCCACATTATGAGCGCATTCATCATCAGAAACAATTACAGTTACATCAGGAACAGAGTCCATACAGTAAAGCATTCTTTCTTTCTTTTTTGTCCTTCCTTCTTCATCATATGCTGCCTTTGGGAAGAAGGGATGAAGAAGAAGTGGAAGATGCAGACGAGGAGAGAATGTGGTCAAGCACAGCCTGGAAAGTGGCCAGGATGTATGAGTCCTGTCCACCATTGTCAACAGACACAAACCACTCAATCCAACCCAATTCGGATGGGAGCCTTGATGCAAGACCACACTGCATCACAGCCAGCACCAGGATGTCCAGAAGCCCATCGGCACTTGTGTCTGTCCAGCAGTTCCTTGATGCACACATGTAACAAAGGAAAACAAGAACAACAACCATCAAATGGATACCCCCATCCATCCATCCATCCATCCATCAATTCTGTTCTTTGCAGCAGCAGCAGCAGTTGTTGTTCATAAACAATCAAAACTCACAATGCCAACTGACACACGTGTCTCAAGGCGCGCACTGTGTCAAGTGGACTGGCAAACGGCATCTCAAGGGCAGCTTCAAGTCGGCGGGCCACCATGCCTGCACACTGTGGATCACTTGTTGTTGCAAGAGGAACCAATGAGTTGGATGACGAGAACCGATGCACAGCCTGTTGGAAGCTATCCTCTTTGCATTGGTCCTTGTAAAGGACTTGCACCAGGGACTGGCCAAGGGGCTGCAGCAGGAGCCTCAGGGCCAGGGCATTCAGAGATGCAGATGAGACCCACGACTTGTTCCCACAGAGTCCGTAGGCCTGGGCCAACACGCTTGATACATTCTCCATGCTGCTCTTGATTACTAAATAATAATAATAATAATAATAATAATAATAACGCTGTAAATCATTGCAAGGAGGAGGAGGAGGAGGAGGAGAAGGAACATAAAATCAAGCCACTGACTGACCAGGGGCAGTGAGGCACAATAAACGGATGCGTTGGGCGTCCCAGTCAGGCCCGCGCCTGTCTTTGGGTGTTTGGGCCAGCGCTCCAAGTCGAAACAAGAGGAACTCGTGCACACTCAAAACTTGCAGCATGATGGGGTGTCGCGTGTCCCGCAGAGCTGCATACACGAGCCAATCCACGGCAGCATCATCTTCATCATCATTTTGCTTGCCTTGGTCATGTCCATCTCCTTCCCTTTTCAGTCCTTGTTGTTGTTGAAGCGAGGCACAAAAGGCTCCGATACCATCTCTTGGCCAACTGAGGTCATGTGCCTTGACTTGGGCCACAGTAGCAGAGTGGATGTCAGCCAAGCCGGGATCCATGGGAACAACATCCACACACACGTCAGCATTATTTCCTGCGGCAGGAGTGAGCAGGTCAACAGCACCACTCTTGGTCTCCCAACCCAGCATGTTCAGCTCATCCGCTTGTCGTCGGGCCAACTCCAGCTCCTTGTCCAAGTCCATCTCCTATGACAACATTGACATATACACACACGTCCATTTTACACTACAATAGTAGATTAGAATGGTACCCTGCACTACAAACCCCCCTGTAGTGTTGTGGGCCAACTAGATGTCACCCGCTGCGTACTGCGGAAAAAGCACAGCACACACAAAATAAAAATAACTGTGGACCAAAAAAAAAAAAAAACAAAAACATCAATTACAAAAAAAAATATAAAAAAAATAGCACAGCAAACACAAAAAAAAAAAAACTGTGGAAAAAAAAAAAAAAAAAAAAGTCTAAACCATCAATTACATAAAAATATTTACCAACAATTCCACTGATCATTGAATCATCACATGATGAAAAGAATTATGAATTACAACCAGAAGCAGGAATAGATTCTTTGAAGACAACCTTGGTGGAATCTTCCACCAAAGAAGGACCAGACCCATGAATCATCATTCCAAGCTGAACTCTGCTCAGATCAGGACCTTCAATTTGTGTGTGAACTTACATTGAAATATACAACTGAGAGTCAGGTGTATCAACATCTGAGGCAGCAGATGGCCAACAGGGCATTCCCCACTTATTTTGCAAATCAAAAGCAACTCTTTGTTGGTGAGGTCTTTGAGACCCACCACACGTAGTACAAACGTTCCACTGAACAAATATTTTTGGGGGGGGGAGAATCTGCCATTTTCACCCCACAGAAGGAACAAATTTTGTACTACAAAAAGGGTGAATGTTCACCCTTATTTTTAGTAGGAATTTTGTATTACAAACAAGGTGTTGTTTCGTTTGTAGTAAAAAAAAAAGTGTGTTCTTAGACAATTGTCTCAGAACAAAGAACAAAAAAATTGAACACAGAAATTTCTGTGAACACAGAAATGTGTTCTGAGACAAATGTCTCAGAACACAAACGACGTTTTTAATGGCACGGAAATTTTTGCGGCATTTGTCACATGTGACAACAGTTATTTTACTGTTGTCACATGTGAAGACGGTTAAATAACTGTCAACGCATTTGACCATGGTCAAAGAAAAACAGTACTGAACTGTTACTTGAAATTATTATTTTTTTCATCATCTCTGGGAACCAATTGAACCATTTCCCATACAATTCCATGGGAAATCGTGACTCGTATCACAAACGTAATTGCACTACGAACGTAGCTCTGGAACGAATTACGTTCGTAGTGCGAGGTACACCTGGAGTACGTATAACCCAACTACAGTTACTGCACTGGACACAAACCTTGTCGGTTGTTGTTTGCTGCACCAGTCGTGTGAAGCTCTTGGCAGCCGTTTCTTGCCTCTGCTGCTGTTCCTCCTTCTTTTTCTTCTCACCAACACCACCACCACTTCCCTCGTTGTCCTGATCCTCTCCAGCAGCCAAGTCGGATTCCAAGAGCACGTGCAAACGTTCGGCCGTGGACGCGAGCAACGCAACGACGGCGCGACGGTGGGAGTCGCCGGCGGGTCGTTCATCCTGCGCCAGCGTGGCCAGTGCCAGCAAGCCGGCCAGGTAATGTCCAGTCGCCGACTCCGGATCCCCGGCGCCGTCCGACACAGTTCCGTCCAACACGCGGCGTCGGGCTTCGCGCCACAACACACGCTCCCGACCGACCAGGGCCAGCAGGGCCTGGTCCACGAGCCCCGCGATCACTGCCATCGGTCTACGCTCTCGCCTGTTCTTATTTTATTTTATTTCTTAACTTTATTTCATTTCATTTATTCCAACGTTCCTCGTTTTCTTTTCTTTTCTTTTTCGTCGCTTTCTTTCTTGCTCCATAAATATCAATGTGACGTGACGTGGGCACAAAAAGTTTCAAAAGACACACGATGAAAAAGAAAGACAACGAGCAGAAAGTAAGTAGGAAAGAACACAAGAAACAAAGAACCGGTTTTCAGTCCCTCTCATCTAAATAGCACTGCTTTCTTTCTTCCCTTCTTTCCGCCGTCCAACTCTCTCACTTTTGCATCGCTGTCCCAGCAAGGCATTCATTACATAGAGTACAGTACAACACAAGACGGTTTTCACGTGACAATTCAATTAGACGACCCCAACCATTCATTCATTCATTCATTCACACGTACAGACAGACACAAGTGCAGCATATCGTCGCATTCACAAGCGGTGGATGTCACCGCTCTCGCGCGTCCATCGTGCCACTGGGCACCTTCACCTCGAGTCCTTCCATATGCTTCTCTAGCACCACTTGACAGCCCAATCTCGACCTGCAAACGACGTTCATCAATCAATCAATCAATCAGTTGGATAAAACATGAAATGTTGATAATAATAGCATCAAGAGAGAGAGACAGAGAGAGAGAGAGAGAGAGAGAGTCTCCACGTCTTCTTCCTCCTCCTTACGTATCGCACAGCCCATAGGCCAGGTCCAGCATGTCCAGCTCCTCGTCGCTTGGCTTGTCCGGCAGCCGGTCATAGTCCTCCTTCTTGAAGATGAGGTGGCACGTGGAGCAGGCCAATGTGCCTTCGCATGCACCGAACCCGTCCAAGTCCAGGTCATTGTTGATGACCACGTCGAGCAAATTGTCGCCTTCCTTGCCCTGCACCGTCAGCTTCCGTCCGTCGTCCTTGATGAAGGTGACGGTGATCCTTGGAAACAAAGATGAAACCATCAAATTCCTTTTTTACATTTTCATTCATGCACTGTACACGGTACTTACATGGCTTTCTGGCCACCACCAGCACCACCACTACTACTATTACTGCTGCTGATATTCCTGCTGCTGCTGCTGCTACTGATTCCATCACCCACAGACATGGCTCGCGACGCAGGGAATCGCCGCAAAACACTACGCCGGTCCCACGGACACATTCGAGCAACGTCGTCGTCTACGACGCGGGCTCTTCGCGCCGCCAGCGACGCCAACGTCCTGGCCATCCGAAAATACATCCTCCTCCACGTTTGCCGGCGAGTACACAAGGAGTAAGCATAAAGTGAGATTAATTCCTGACTAACTACGATGTGCGATGCACAGAAACTCAAAATAAAATCAATCCAGGGAGAAAAAAGAAGAACAGGAAAAAATACACGCTGTTGTTTCAATCCCGTCGTCACGAGAGGAGGAATCGAATCGAGACAGTCGCGCGTACACAAACGAGCCAATACATATAAAGTATATATTATGTAAAATAGGAAAAGAAAAAAAAAAAAAAACTACAACAAACATGCACACGTCGAGGTCAAGGATGGCGAGAGTCAGGGCGCCATCAGCTGTCGCTGTAACTCGGCCAACTTGTTTCTCAGCGCGTTCACTTTCGCCTCTTGCGCAGCCAGGTCCTTGTCGGAGATTTTGAAGCTCTGGAGATGGAAAGCCAACGAGATAAGTGATATTAGCAGCAGCAAACGAACGAACGAACGAACAAACAAACAAACAAACAAAGGAGAGAAAGAAAGGCAAATGGCGTCTCACCTTCACCAGTGGCTCGGACGGATCCACAAACACACCGGGGAGCTTGTCCACCTTGCCACGATGGTCGCGTTGTCCGACAAAGGCCCGTTTCCGGGACGCCGTGAGATGCGCAGCCAGACTCAGGACGGCAGTGCGAGCGTCTACTAGGCCCGGGAATGGCGTCAGTCCTGCCGGCAGCAATTCCTCGTCGCCACTCTCTTTCTTGTTGTTGCCGCCGCCGCCGCCGTCGTCGTCGTCGTCGTCGTCGTCCACATCATCATCATTAGCATTATCATTTCCCTCGCCGCCCAATGACGCAATCCACACTCTGTCGTATGTGTACTTGGGCTTCACGTTCTCCAAGCGTTTCTCCCAGTAAACCTGGTGGCGGCGGAACAATACACGAGAGAGGAATATTGTACAGAGAGCAAAGGGGAAGAGGGGGATGAAACAAATAAAGCGACTCACTTGCGCAGGCTTCACTTTGTGGTGGTTGTTGGACGACGACGTCACCGAGGACGGGAGGTTGCTCTTGTCGCTGTCATTGTCTTTGCCGCCGTCAGAGGCCAAGTTCCGCACGACCACGACGCTGGTCGGTAGTGCGGATGATGATGATGATGATGCCGTCGTGCTCGTCGCCGCCACTGCTGGTGTCGTGTCCCGCTGAAAAGGCGTGCCCAGCGGAAAGTCTCGCTTGCGACGGAGGGCTTCTTCCTGCTGCGCAGCCAGGGCCACCGCGGCCGCCGTGGCTTGCTGTTGCTGTTGCGACGGTGCCGGTGAGGCGCCGCCGCCGCCGCTGTTACTGTTACTACTGCCAGCTGGAGGACGGCCCCTCGTCCGCGCCGCCGGCTGGAACTTGCCCGTGTTGAAGTCGAACGTACTCAAGTCGAACGCATCGCCCAGCACGCGCTGCAAGTCTGCCTTCGACGTCACCCGCTTCCCCATCGGGCTATAATGAATAGATGTAGCATTGATTAGCACACAAAAGTGCATTCGTTCATTCAATCAATCATTCCTTCATTCTCGTCGGCATATACAGTACAGTACTGTACCTGTAGTATCGGAAGGCGACTTTGCCAGTGGATAAGCCCGTCGTCATGATGCATTCTTCGCGCTTCCAGCCACGGGGCAAACCCGGACAGTCGAACAACTTCTTCGACCTCGACATACCGTTTCTTTCTTTCTTTCTTTCTTTCTTTCTATTGCACCCCTCTCTGTCTGAAGAAGCCAAATCAAACAACATGAAAACCCGACAACTCGTCTGCGACAGAGAGCGTGGGCCTCTCTCTCTCTCTATTTTTTTTCCTTTTTTTCTTAAATCAAACAAGACACTTGTAAATGCACAAACACATACTGCATATATACTGTACTATGTATAAACACTCTTCATCCCTTTGAAAAAAATAAAATAAATAAGCTGCATCCTTCCAAATCTTCAGTATGCAACAACATCAAGGCAAAGGGGGAGATGCTGACGAAGACGGGCCGTAGAAAATGATTTCCGGAATTTGACCGCCTTGGACGCCCGTGCCGTTGGTCGAGTCCACCGAGCACTGGAACTGGAACGTGACGCAACCCGCCTGCACCTCACTCATGCCTTCCTGGCCAAAGTAGGACAGCTCTCCGCCATCCAGCACACACGACGCCGTGTAATACTGATCCGCCTCGATCTGATCATCATCAAAACAAGCGTTACAGTACTCGTTAATTGGTAGGGGCGAAGGATTTTTTTCACCCTCTTCAATTCGAATGTGTTGCTCACCTGAATCGGGTGTGGAAAGTGAACGTGGAACGTGTTGGACGAGCCGTCCGAAACAAGTTTGGTAACACACTCGCCCAAGAGTGGTGGTGGCGAGGAAGAAGAAGAAGAAGACGAAGCACCACTACATCCGTCACCGTTCGAGCCGCCTCGCTTGAGCTCCATGCGCACCGAGTACTCGGCGGCGCCGTTGGACGAGCCGTAGAGACCAAAGCCGACGACGAAGACGCGCTTGTCCACGCAGAACTGGATGCTGTCGCAACGGCCGCGGTAGCGCCACTGATTGCTACGATAGGCACACGAGCCAAAGCGGTGGCAGACCTGGGCCTGCAGCCCGCGTCTTGGCACGGCGCAGAACCGCAACGCCGGCTTCTGCGTCGCCGTCAAGTGCAGGAACACGTCCTTGGTCTCCTGCAGCGTCAACACGCCCGACTGCGCCGCCTCATTGGCAAACTCGTCCAGACTCATGGCTGGGAACCGAATGAGGAACACGGCGTCGCCCAGGACACGTCTCAGTCTTTGGGCAACAGCATCGTCATTATTTTCATATTTTTTGGTTGCAGTATTCTTAGTAGTCGTGGTAGTAGCCTTGTTGTTGTTGTTGACGACGACAACAACGTTGCTGCAGCCTTCTTTTTCTTGTTGTTGATCCCCAGAACAACAATGATGATGATCATCATCATCATCATCATCATCTTCTTCTTCTTCTTCTTCTCGTTCATCATCACCATCACCATGCAAAGATGTCGTCATCATTTGCGCCGAGGCCCAGGCCACTGCCGCCTTCAACACAACCGACTCGCGGCAATTGAGCGTGGGACGCGAGAGCAGTGCGACGAGTGTGGCATGGTCCACGTCGGCCAGTCCGTCCGCCGTCAGGGCCATCTCCGCCTGCGCGTCCACCACTTCCCAACACCGCTGCGTCAAGTCCGGCTCGTCCAGCAGTCGGGCCTGGCTCAGCAACACGCAGGCATTCTCAGCCGTCAGACTCCGCTCGAGGAACGCGACGCAGGCCCGGGCTAGAAACGGCACCATGTACTTTTTGGCCGCGTACAGCGTCGACAACACCACGTCCGCCTTCATCTGGGTGTCGTCCATGTACAGGTATCTGCAGTACAGTACAGTATAGAGTATCAAATCAGCCAGTCTGTAATGTACTGTACTGTACTGTACATTAAATAACATCCTCCGCATCAATCAAATCACCTGAGCAGCGTGCGGAAGGCCAGAGGGTCCACGTCCGGCACGGCAATCTCCAGCTTCGTCTCGGCCAATCCGCCATGGAACATGGCAAAGAACACGGCACTGCCCGTGGCCAGCACGTACTTGTGGGCGAAGATCCTTTGGCACGCACCTTTGATCCACAAAATGGATGGAATCAAAGATTGGAAATTTACAAGTTCTCAAACACGACAAAGAAATTCCACTAGAGGAGGAGGAGGAGGAGGACTCACTCGGAGGCCCGACGACGAAAACCACATCCGACATGAGCTCATTATCGAACATGGCTGCGTTCCGTTCACGCAGGGTGGGCTTCAGTGACTGCCAATTCGGGTCCGCCGTGTTGGTGGTCACATTGTTGTTGGTCGTCGTCGTTGCTGTCGTCGTCGAAGTTGCACACATGGCATCCATTGACAGATTCAACAAGGATGAGGACAATTCCCCTTTCTGCTGCTGCTGCAGGTGTTGACGGCAATGATGATGATGTTGATGAAGGAGATGATGATGATGAAGATTACTGCTGCTCATGTTACTACCACCACCACCACCACCGTGGGGCAGGATAATGCGACTCGTGTCAGGCAGGCCCGGGAATGACAGGGGACGCGGAGTGCTGACGGGACTGCTGGGGTTCGAGCCCGGCTGCATCACCTGCACGTCGCCCGAGTACTGGTGCTGCGTGAACGAGCCGTACTCGGCGCCCACGTGCTGCACGTGCACGGCTGCACCCTGCGTCCCAATCACCACATCTGCCAAAGGCATACACTGCACTTGATTGAATTGGATCAACAGACGATAGGGAACCACGACCATCACGAGATATTGTACTGTATACGGTGTAGCGACGAGTCAACTCACGAGTCACGTTGCCCGACGGAGACGGCAAAGTCGGGCATTTCCTCTCGAGTCCACCGGGTTCACACAGCAACAAAGAAGAAGGTGATGATGACTCGGATGGCGAAGTCGTCGCTCCGTCCCCTATGGTCATTCCCTGCGCCACAGAAGACAAGGACGACGACAAAGAAGAAGAAGACGCAGCCTCTTCGCGGTGCGGGTGATGGTTCTGCTGCTCGCCCGCGGACTTTCGATCCCGCACCTCCTTCATACTGTGTCAATCCTCGCTCGACTACTATACTCACCAACCAAATTCACGCATCTTGGCAAGCAAACAAGGAAGAAATAAAAGTAAAAGGACCAACAACAGCACTTTCCAATGAGAAGGAATAATGGCCAATCCTGAATGAGCAAACACGACGTCATCACGGCCTCCGGGTTCCGCCAAATTCATTATTCACTCTCTCTCTCACACACACACACACTCTGTCCCACAGGCAATTTGGAAACGGAACAAGGATAAAATAAAAAAGAAAGAAGAAACGCTTCCGGAATTAAACACAGCATGTGTGGAAGAGCCCTCTCCCTCTGGCTCTTATTCGTTCCACCAACACCACAGCCGCCATCGCTTCTCTGAAAGAATCGAGGGCCGCTCTGTTCCGCACGTACATCACTAATCAAAAAAGACGACAGAGTTGAGAAAGAAAAACAAGTTATCCCGCAACCGACGAGAGTCCCGCTGGTGCGTCAACTCAATAAAGTACTGTACTACAGCACAGCAGAATCGACCGCAACGTGAGTGGGTCTGCCCCTATCCCTCGTGAAATCCGTAGCACCAAACCGCGAAACAGAAAAAGCCGCCTGTATCTCTGTCTCACAATCACAACTGAATTGGCAGAAACACAGAGCAGAGTACAGTAATGGAATGTACGACATTTCCTTTTCCTTTCTTTTTTTTTTTTTTTTGTTGACTTCATCGTTTTTCTTGCTTCGAATGTTTGACAGGTCCCTCCCTCCCTCCCTCTATCTATCCATCTGTTCATCCTTTCTCACAAAACATGCAACAGTCGGGGAGATGTGGACCACGAGACGAGAAAGCAACGTCCCTTCCTTTCCCTGCTTTTCTCTCTCCCCTTCAATATTAACGAGGCAACACGAAGAGGATGTAGGAGGTGATGATTCGAAGCACAACAAAAACCAAAATGCATTACCTCGAAGCCATAATTGCAATATTTGCCCATTTTCTATGCGCGGGTGCGAATTGCCACGACGAAAATAGCTCGTTTTATATTCATAATTATTATTCTTTTTTCTTTTCAACCACCCCCCTGTTGCTGGAGTTTCACGTTTCCCTTCCGATCTCCGCGATGAAATCGTCACAGGCCAAACATGCCGTCCTCCTCGTGGCGCTTATCGGCAGCGAGCCTCGTCCTGTTGGTAGCGGAGGCGGTGGAGCCGGGGCCTGCAGATGCCCGTTCGGCGAGGAACTCGTCAAATTCAGAGCTGGTCATCCCTTCGTGTCCCGGCTGCTCGTCGTCGTCGTTGTTCATTACAGAGTCAGAGATACAAAGAATATAACGCATCAATGTAACGCATCTCCAGCACCAGTTCAAGCTCATCCCACAAGGCCAGAGCTCAGAACCAACCAACCAAGCAAGCTAACAAGCAACTAGCCAGCCAGCCAATCAATCAATCAATCAATCAATCAATCCACCCCCAATAAAAGAAGTTTTGGAAAATTTTACGAGAAAATTGTCTCTGCGATAAAATAAAAAAAACAAGACAACAGGCCATTCCCCACTTCCGAAACATAAAAAATTAAATAAATATACAGTAGTGTAAAATGAATTTAAAAGAAGAAAAAAAAAATGAGGAAAAAGAAAGGAAGAGGAAAAGGAAACCAGTGATATACACACCTGTGTTCTCAACCACGACTCCATCTCAGCGAAATCACTTTCCCTCTGGAGCTACAAAAGACCAATCAATCAAGACGGCGCACCACGACGCAAAAGGAAAAGCAATTCTTGCTACACGAGCAGGGAGTACTGTACTGTACAACATTTGCAGGAGGAAAATTTAGTGAGATAGAGAGAAGAAATCAAGGGGCATGAGACGAAAAAAAGATGTACCAGCGGGCGGGTTCAGCGACGACGAGCCCCCCTCGAGACTGATTATAGTATTATCCACAACAAAGAAGCCAAGCACGCGGGATAAAGAAGCAACCAACGAACGGGTGGACGGAAGAAGCACACAGGAAAGAACATACAGTACTGTAAATCGTATTGTTAAAGCCTTCTTTGCAAGCATCAACTCGGGTTGGACTGGGTGTCGATGGGTGGGTGGATGGATAGATAGTTAGATAGATATGCATACAAAAGGACAGACACATACAGACTGCTATACTGTCTGACAAAGGCTAGGGTGGCGCCCAAAAACAACAACAATACAGTATACCATATACTGTACTGTACAGTAGTGTGCCTCTACAGTACAGTGTTGTACTTGCTTTGCGTGAGTAGAAGAGTAAGAGTGAGTGAGCAAGAGAGTTAAACAACAACAACAGCAACAACCTGGATCCCATTCCCTCTCCCTACACACTTCTTGTACAGTACAGTCTTGTACAATAGTGCGGTACTCTATGTACACATGCAATTCAGTATTTTGCATTGGTATTCTCTCATCAGAGTACTGTACCATGCCGTATTACACACCCAAGTGGGGAAATTGGTGCACAACTGGGGATATGTTTGTAATTCTAATCAGTTACCCTGTTGTGCACCCTAAGTGTACCAAAGTTCTTCTGTTGCACATGCATATCCCCAATGTGCACCAATTGTGCTGTGTTCACACCAGGATTACTCAGGGTCACATTTGTAAACAAATAAGTTACACCAAGGCTACAGTTGGTGCATTTGTGTGATACTCCTGTTATGTCACATTTGCGCACCAAGTGTAGCCCTGGAATGGTAGCAAAATGTCCTCTACAGGAGTGCACACTTGTAACCCCCAGAATATCCCATATGCACAAGTTGTGACCCTGGTGTGCACCAGTTGTGGGGTCACAGCAAAAATAGCTCCCCACTCGGGCAGGTAATCCACATTACAAAAAGAAGCGATGCACGCTGGACGAAGCTCAAAACGGGGCGACTCACGTGATCATCTCTAGGAAGTAGCCGCGTCTGCGCCGTTTCGCCAAGACTTCTCGGCGCCGTTTCAATGTTGATATTATCCTCGTACGATGCCCTGCCGAAATGTGATACAGTACTGTGAATAAATTCGGCTTCCCGTTGTAAAAAGAATCTGATCCCTCATCCACGGGAATTTCGAGTCCACTATGAGGCGTCGAAAGAGCATTCAAAAAAAACTCTTCCCCTCGGTGCACGCACTCGACGTTACTATCGTTACTCACAGCGCCCCGTCGGCATTTGATATCATTTGAGAGAATGTAAACTTAGTAACCCAACCCAGATTACTGCACAGCACATTGATTGTCACACAGCAAAACTCGGACTTTGAGAGACCCACCCTCGGTTTTTAGACGAAGACGATCTCGATTGGGCAAACATGTCGAACTCGGAATCCTCCACAGAATCACCCGCTGTCTCCGAAGGCGCGTCATGCCCTCCAACACCTTTCGCAATGCCAATAACACGAGGGAAACGAAAAGAGGAAAAAACTTGAAAAATTAAGGGAAATTCCCAACAGTAATTCTTTGCATCAAGGCGAGAGAGAGATTTCTTTCCACATGCACTGGACTATAGTGAGAGAGAGAGAGAGAGAGATGCCCCACACTCACCCAGGGCTCCAACATCACTCGCAAGTTTCTGCTCGTCAAACTCAATCAGGGACTCGCCGCCGCCAATCGCTTGCTTCTTCTGCTGCTGCTGGTGGTGGTTGTTGCCATCATTATTCGACTTGCTCGCCCTCGCTCGCTTGTACTTGCCGTAGGCGAGGAACACGGTGTTGAGGTCGTCGTTGATGCGCAGGAGGTCGGCGACGAGGTCGTCGTGGCTCACGTTACTGATGAGCGCCACGACCCGCTGCTGCATCTCACGGACCGTCACGAACAGGTCTTGCAACAGCTCTGCGTCTTCGGGATGCTCCTCTCCCGGCACCAGGTCGCCGAGCATTTCCCGCATCACCTTCACGTTGCACTCGACAATGTCTAGCTCGCTGCGTAGCTTGGCCACTTGTTCCTCCGTCAGCTTGAAGGCCGTCATCTCGTGCATCAACGGATGCTGCCGCCTTTGTTGCTGTTCTTGATGATGATGTTGCTGTTGCTGCTGCAATGGCGGCGACGACGATGACGAATGCTGCGGCCCACAAGTTTCCGTCGTCGAAGTCCTCGTGGAGGAGGCTTCCACTGACTTTCAGGCCGGAATAGAAGATTGGCTCATATTAAAAAAGAGGGGTCAAGGGAACACAACAGCAACTCTCTCCTTTTAGTCCTTCAGTACGCACCCGCGGCGGCGTCCGGATCGGAGCCATACTGTCCAAGTCCGTTGGGGGGAACTGAACACCCTTGGCGCGCAGATCGTTATACATTTGCACGACGCCTTGCAAATCCGGCTGCGTTCGAAATGCCTCAGCCCAGGCTTGAATCAGTCCAAGAACCTTTTCTTGCACCACCTGCGGAGGGTCGTACTTTGGGCCTGTACAGGAAGATAAATCACGTTTAAATTACCAAAAAAACACAAAACATCATTAACATCCACCAAAGAAGGCTGTCGTGATAAACTGTACACCTTACCAATGATCTTCACCAAGTCTTGAACGCTGTCTCTGGAGCAAGCCACAACATGAAACCGATGTCCGCAGTTTTTAACGCACGTTTCCAATAGCTTTCGAGAGAGAAAAAAAAAATTGTAATCAGGCATTAAATGTAACACTGATGGACTTGTTGCCGCTGCTGCTCCTACCGTGAGTGCATAAATGATGGACGAATAGTTCCTCCCAACAAAGCTCTGCAGCCGTTTTCGAATCGCACGCATAGCGTCACGGGGACCATCCTCTGAGGAATTCACCAAGTCACAAATCTCCATAAACATGCCCCAGTTCTCCGACGCAAGACTAGGGTCAGTTGCTTGCTCTGAAAAGTCGGAATGCTTTCAGTGCCACAAGAAGGGACAAGACGAGCGACGAGTGTGCATGCAGTGACCGAGTCCCTCACCTACTTTCTGACCGATGATCGTACCGAACGGGTTGCCCCCGATCACTTCCATTATTGACGAGGATATCGCTGCCATAGCCATGGTTCACTCACGCCTTGACTCGAAAAGTCAAATTCAATCACTCTCAACCGAAATATAAGGTCTGAATAGAAAAATTCAACAAGTCCCCTTGTTGCAAGTCAATGAGAATGAAGGAATGAAACGAAGAGCGTCCAAATAAGGAGTGTGTGCAAAAAAAAAAAATTTCTTTTCAGCCAAGAACATGGGACACGATTTTTCAGAAAGCTAGTTTCTTCATGAGGAGGTACAGATGATGGTCCACTTCAAAGCCATGCAAATTATTCGCGTCACCCTGAAGCCGCATTAAGAGCCCACCGAAAGAAACATAAGCCGAAAGGCGCCCCGTAGGGTCTCCCACTCGATCTCCACCCTCGTCGCCTTCAATCCTATAGATCTTGCCGTACATCACATACTCGAACGCATCCGCTTTCGTCATTCCGTCTTCTGGCATCCTTGGATTCCAATCTTCGGCATCTGCATAGCCATCTTCTCGCAGAGTAGTCGCGAGGACGAGCCGGAATTTCTCACCCAGGTCAACCGGGTAAACCTGAGAGTTTACATCCAAAATAAGGTCCATCTTGAAGGATTCGCTTTCACAATGCAGACGGCTGACACGATCGAATTTTTTGCCTTCCGCATCGATATCTTTCACGTCAAAAATGTCCTCGAATAGCACGGACGACATACCACCGAACAAGAAGCCCCTGGCAGCGACGAACAAGAAAAATCTGAAGAAAAAAAAGAGATTAAATAATAAATCTCAATTTTGCTCAACAACTAATTTTCTTCTTTCTCACTCTCTTTGATCCCAGAACACAGAAATAAATAATCACAGTGTTTTGAAATTGCACAATGCACCCTTTTTTTTCTTCCATCGCTCGACACGTGCTCACAATCACGAATGTAAACAGTTGAAGCGGATGGTATAAAGTGAAGGGGAGGGGGAAAAGAGAAAAGGTTTCTGCCCAACCCCACACAACGGCGCCATCATAATCCCTTCCCTCTTCAAAAGACAACAACACAGAGCATACAAGCTCAGCACCAAAAGAAGCCAACCAAGCCCACTACTGTACTACAAATTCAGAAAACTATATGTACGTTTTTTTTTTCTTTTTGCTGACTGCTTCTCACAGCTCCAGATCCACAATTTCCACATTCTCCTCCGCCTCGTAGACTGCCAAAACGGGACCCACGTGATCCGTGAGGAACTCTTGCACTTGTTCCGGGGCTCGGCCACACAGGGACGCCGTGTTACTCATCACGTGGTCCAATTCCGCGTGGATAGGCGCAAAATAGGTGTCCAGCATGACGCGACGCTGAAAATCGTTGTCGTTGCCATTTTTGGTCTCTTCCGCTGCGGCCCAAGCATGCTGTCTGATTTTCTCGTGACATTCCTGATTGGTCGATCGGAAGTCATAATTTGAATAAAGAAGGAACAAACACACACACACAGGCAACTCACCTGTCTGTTGCCACCCTTGGAGACCATGGCAATAATGATGTTCTCCGAAACGAGAAACGGCATTTCCTCCAGCAGGTGCTTCCGTATCACTTGCGGATACACGACCAGACCGTTGAAGATGTTTTGCAGAAGCTGCAACACTGCGTCTGCAGTCAGGAATGCTTCAGAAATGGCCATTCGTCTGAGGATGAGTAACAAGTACATATATAAGTGACTGTTTCACTCTTCCTTTTTTTTTCATTTGGCGCAAACGCACCTATTGGCACTGTCGTCCAGTGTTCGCTCCATCCACTGGACCGACGCCGTGTGCAGTGGGTCCGAGACGAGCGTCATGAGGTGGCGCGCGAGGGCGCAGCATCGTTCGCTCCGCATCGGGTTCCGCTTGTACGGCATGGCACTCGAGCCGATCTGCGACTCGGAAAACGGCTCCTCCATCTCCTTCAGACTCGCCAGCAGTCGAATGTCTGTGCAAATCTGCTCGTCGTCATACACATACATTCGTTTTTGCGTGAAAATATAAAAGAAATATATATATATATATATATATTTCTTTTATATTTTACCTTGTGCGCCGATGCTCCTAGAGACGCGAGTGGTGCCAGACACTCAATGTCCACCTTGCGTGGGTAGGTCTGGCCGCAGACGGGATAAACCCGGTCAAAGCCCGCCAACTTGCCCACCAACTTGTCCAAGTCCTTCACCTTGTCGTGGTCGCCGTGGAACAACTCGAGGAACGAGGCCTGCGTGCCCGTCGTGCCCTTGACTCCGCGGAAACACAGGTCGTCCCTTGCTCGCCGCAACGCCCTCTCGTCAAAGCACAGGTCCTGGAGCCAGAGACAAGCCCGTTTCCCGACAGTCGTTGGTTGGGCACTCCTGTTTGTTGGTTTGTTTCGACAATGAGTGAGTGCGAGTTCTATCCATTAAATTCAGTGTACAGTACTGTACTCACTGGAAATGAGTATAGCCCAAAGTCGGCATGTCCTTGTACTCGGCTGCAAACTTGGCAAGCAGGGCCAAGCACTTGGCCACCTTGGGTAGGAGTATGTTGAAGGCATCGCGCATGAGTATGAGGTCCGCATTGTCGCCCACGAAGCACGACGTGGCCCCCAGGTGGATGACGGGGGCAGCCTTGGGACACACGACGGCCAGCGTGCGCACGTGGGCCATTACGTCGTGGCGGGTGGCCCGCTCTTCCCGGGCAGCACGGGCGAAGTCGATGTTGTGTATGGCAGCTCGCAACTCGGCCACCTGCTCGTCCGTAATGTCCAATCCGAGTTCCTTTACCCACCCCCAAAAAAAATAAATAAAAAATAATCATCATCATCAATATTGTACTCTACTCTACTCTACTGTTGCATTAAACGAGGAATCCGAGCAAAGAAACAACCTTCTCGGCCATGGCCAAGTAGAGCCAGAGCCTCCGCCACGTGGAAATGCGCTTCACCTCGCCGAAATTGTAGCTCATGTCCTCGGACGCGTAACGAGTCACCAGCGGGGTCCGATACAACGCGTTCCCGCACACAAAACCTCCTGCTGCTCCCTTTTCTCCCAAGTCGTCCTCGCCGCCGCCTCCGCCGTCATTCACCCCGGCCATCGTCACACACAGGCGCACGCACTCGGTTATTCAATTAGTTTAAAGAATCAAATATCACCGTCAAACGACGATGATGACGACAAACCAACCCCCTTTTTAAAAACAACAAGAGTCCTGCAACAATGCAAAAAATACAAAGACTCAAACTTCGGCACTTGAATCACTGCATAGACCAAACACGGATGACATGTAGCAACAAAATGCTGCGCGCATCACACACACACACACACACACACACACTGTACGGTAAGCCGACAGTGAGAGAAGAAAAAAAAACACTTATTCTTCTTCTTCTGCGACGTTGTTGCTCTTCAGTGCCGGTCGGTGAAGTCAAACCGCATGCGGATGTTGACACAGGCCAACTCGCCTGCAAGTAGCTTGAGCGTGTAAGGCATGCGCATGAGGGTCACGGTTTGATTCTTGAATGCACACACGCGACAAACGGGGAAACTCGGGCCATCAGTCACGTCGGGGTTCTCGTTGGAGGACTTGTCGTCGTCGTCGTCGTCATCATCATGATCATGACCATGATCACGAGAAGGAGAAGACGAAACAAATTTGTCCTTCTGCTTCTTCTTCGCACGGGTTCTCGCCCTCGCAATCCTCGCTGCCAGGTCGTCGCACGGCGACACCACCGACCCGCAAGTGAGACACACAAACTCCCGGTAGCCGTCCGAGTTGTCCAGCAGCCGGTCCATCATGAGACTCATGCAGCCCGCACTGAGCACGGCGTCTCGCTCCATTTCGCCGACTCGCACGCCGCCGCCGCGCTTCCGTCCCTTGATCGGCTGCCGCATCATCAGGTTCATGGGCCCCGTGCTGCGCACCTGCCACTTGTCCAGCACCATGTGACGCAAACGCTGGTAGTGCACGACGCCCATGAAGATGACACTTTCAAAGGGTTTGCCCGTCACGGGACACATCATCACTTCCGTGCCCATTCGGTTGAAGCCAGCTGCGTGATAAGAAATACGGTTCAGTATGAGTATTGTACCTCTACTCTAGAGTCCAATGAATGCACCACTTTCCTGTCCTGTCCTATTCTGTACTCCACAAACACTACAATACAGTACACTAACCTTTGGCCAACAGGTTCCCCATGTACTCGTGTGCCGGCCGGTCCTCGTCAAACTCAAACGGAGTGGCGTCCAACGCAGTGCCGTGCAGGGCCGCCGCCTTGCCCGCCATCACTTCAATCATCTGCGCCATCGTCATCCGCGACGGCAGCCCGTGCGGATTAAACAGGATGTCCGGCATCATGCCCGACTCGGCGAAGGGAATGTCCTCGGTGGGCCACAGCATGGAGCAGATGCCCTTTTGGCCCGACCGCGTGGCAAACTTGTCGCCGACCACGGGACGACGTCTGATCGAGACCGAAATGCGCACGCGCGTCACGGCGCACTCGGCTCCCCCTCCACCTCCACTCAGGATCCACACTCGGTTAACAACCGCCTCTTCGGCCCTTCCAATAAAAAAAAGAGAGAGAATCTGCACATTCATTGCGAGGTAGGAAGGAAAGAGAAACACACTCACTTTCTAAAGAGTTTCACGACGTACTTGTCGCCGATCGGCGAGTAGTAGCTAAAGTAGGGCGTGTTCTTGTCGAGTCGGAGTCCCACGCGGGGCAGGCCGTCCACGTCCAGTGCCCGGGTCACGGGATCCTCGGGCCCCAGATCCGGACAGCGTGCGAACCGCAGTCCAACGCAGTCGCCGCGTCCCTGGTAGCGTGTCATGCCAGCCAGGACATACAGGTCCACCAGCTCCGACTTGAACAGCGACCCGTGCGCCAGGCCTCGCTCCATGGACGCCTTGTTGATGATCATGGCATCTTCCATGTCGTACGACTGACACACAGACACACCATCAATATTCAATCAATCAATCAATCAATCGATCGATCGATCGATCGACTGTACTATAAAGTACTTGACAGCATACGAGAAGCAAAACAACTGGGCTCTGGGTTTCAACCCCGCGGCTCCCGAAAAGACGCCACAACAACAAGCAGAATTAACTGAAATAAAGTTAGGCATTTTTAAAAAGGCCCAGGCTCTTCTTGAGAAAACTTTCTTCGTTTCTTTTCCTAAGGCTAATGATGATCACAGCTGGATACGAAGTCGAGACATCATCATCAGAGACGACGACGACGAAAATAAATAGGAATGAATAAAAAAAGTGACTGTAGTGCACACTACAGTACCACTATATATACATATAGAATTGCTCACCAGTACTGTACATGTTCAGTACACAGTATACTGTGCGTAAAAAGTCTGTGACACTCACCGAATAAGCAATGACAGCCACAATGGCGTTCGTGCCCGCCGGGTAATCGTCCATCTGCCATTGGTCGTAGGCCCGTGTTCGGAACAACGGGGAGTTGGGCGTGTCCAGTCGGTACAACTTGCACGACGGACGCCGGCGAATGTCGTGGAACGGCGTGCCCATCGTCTGCTTGGCCATCTGACACTGGTACATGTTCCTGGGACTCTGGTTGCAGTCCGGCAACGGAATGAGGCAGGCTAGCGAGCTCATCAGACTCGTCGCCGACACCTTGCAACGATCGAGTGGATCATGGGACACGATGATGATGATGATGACAGAACCAAAGGTTTCACGCGCTGTTTGTACAGTGCTGTACTCGTGTACAGTATATCCCTCACCTCCACGTGCGTCGTCATGCCGGGCACAACTTCTTGCGGGGAACACGCAATGTGCAGGTACATTTGCTCCAGCGCCCCCACGAGCTCCTCGCTCATCGTGGACAAGTTGACGACTTTCCGCATCAGCCGGTTCATGCCAGTGAAGATAAATACGCCCGGGAACTGGCCACCCACGTAGCCCGCCATTTCCCTGTTACTCGAGTCCCGGTCCACGTCCGGGATGAACCCGATCTCGGTAAACTTGCTAATCACTAAGCCCTGAGAGGAGAAAAAGACAAGGAAGGACTCATTCTTTCGTCCGCACCACCACCGACTGTAAAACAGACCATATCCTCTTTCCTCTTAGATGGTAATCAACTCACCGCAGCGTTCGATGACGTCTTCTGTCCGCCGCTGCTCGTCCGTTCCTTATGGGCCCGCAGCTGGTGCACGAAGTCGGGCGCCTTTGCTTCACGCACGAATCCCAACCACTTGCCGTCGAGCACGACGGGAAGCAATCGGTCGTCGTTCTCCACTTGACCCTGACTATCTCCTGTCGCTGTAGATGATGATGATGATGATGGCACGCTCGACTCGTAAGGTATCATGCCGAGGCCAGTCAGCAGCGCTGGGTAGTGCGTCGTGTCCACTCGGTCGCACACGACGACGCAGTCCTTGGCCAGGTGGTTCAGCAGTCCGCACGGGGTCCCGTCCGGGGTGTGCACGGGACACACGAAGCCCCAGGCATCCGGCGTCAACTTCCGCACATCCGTCGACCGCACGCTCACAAAGAACGAACCACGATGCAGGGCCTCAAAGTGGGACGTGTACCGCGCCCAACTGATGCTCTCGGCAACGACGGAGAGGCCGGTCATTTGCGGCAAGACGAGCATGTCCCCTCCGGCCGGGGCATTGCCAGTGGCCAGAAAGAGCTCCATCATGTCGCCGACGCGTGGCCGAGTCTTGACAGCCGCCAACACGGCGGCCTTGTCCACGGGACCACCACCCCGTTCGGCCTTGGTCAGCACTGTCGTGCGGATGACGCGCAGCATGCGGTGCATCGTCTCCTTGAGCACTTGCACGTAAATATCGCCGCCCAAAAACACTTCCCAACTGTACACAGAGTCCGTGTCCTCGACACTCGACTCGTTGCTCGCCAGCGCGTACAGCTTCTGCATCATGAGCACGACCATACGGAACTTGAGTTCGGGGGTGCGGAGGTGGGGCAGGAGGGAGCGTTGCAAAAGGGCCCTGGCCAGACTCACGTCGTCCAGGTCGGGACTCAGGTGTTGCTGCACGCGGGGCCGAAGTCGGTTGCCGAGCATCTTGAGGGCATCCAATTGCGTGTGAACGCCGTCATCTTGGCTTCCGTGCAGCTCGCGCAACATGACCAGCATCCGGCGGCTGAAGGGCAGCGAGCCGGACTTTGGCTTGCCGCGAACGAGAGCGTCGTGAATGGCCTGGTCGGAACGGGACGTCAACGCTCTCAGGATCACGCCGACCTTGATGAAGAACATCTCTCTTCGGAAAGCGAACATCATCTTGGCACTGCCGTCCTTGAGGAAGTGAAGCACGTTGTTGTAGCTCGATTGGTCCTCGGTGACGGACCGAACGAGCACGCCCATATCCGAAAAGTCCTTGCCGCGAGAGGCCCACGTGGGCCGACGCAGGGCCAGAGGATAGTTGCGTCGCGTGGCCACCAGCATGCGGATGAGCTTCTCATGCCCGTTCACGATGAAATATCCGCCGATCTCGTTCTCCTCTTCGCCGACGCGCACCAGTTGCGCAGGGGACAGACCGGCCAGGTGGCATCGCGAGGACCGCACCATCACAGGCACGTTGCCGCACGCCTGGGTCAGACTGGCCGCTTCTTCGCCATCAATGACGACGCGCAGGGACACGTGCAGCGGGGCCGTGTAGGTTTTCCCACTGATGCGACACTCTGCCGGCAGCACTTTTTTCTTCGCCACCGCTCCTGTTCCGACCCCCACATTCCCATTTGCCACCTCGGGGTAGCCCAGAGAGGCTGCATCCAAGTGCAACCCAATCGTGGGTCCATTCGGCGGCACCTTGAACTCGACCGGCGGGGTGGACAAGACGGCCTCGCGCAGTCCGATGCGGATCATGTCATCAAAGCTCTGGATGTGCGGTCGTCCGAGCCGATCTATAAACTACGAAAAATTAGATCAGGAGAGTTCGATTCTTCATTTAATCACGAGATTCTGGAAGAAAAAAAAAAGCGGGGGACACACACCTCCCTTGTGACGTTGGGCGGTGTGCGAAACCTTCGAGAATTTAGGTATTTCTGATTCGGAAGAGGCATCTGCATTGCCAACTTCTTCCCTTTTTCCTCCTCCTCCTCTTCCTCCTGCATGCGTTCTTCGACATGTAAACGTGAAATACCCATGTCACCCCTATTCACACTTGACCGGATAACAGTCACCTGCAAAAGCCCGTCAAGATTCAAGAAATGTTTCAAATTGTTCTTCGATAAAGAAAATTGCAAGCAAAGTAGGAGCGCTGCGCTCATGCACGAAGTGCAGCAGAGCTCCGCCAACTAATTTCTGTCGAAGCCTTCGGATGCGTCACAAGGTCAGACTGGGCATTGGCTCATAATAACACGATTGGATCTAGCTCCGCTCCGACCGGTCGGTTTGCTGAGAGATTCCGAGTGAGCTGACCAGAGGGCCTTCACAACTATCCTTGGACGCACGCCTTTCGCTCCCCAGCCCTGAATGGAGCGAGCGGCGTTGAGTGGTATTCGTACCATGAAGTCGCGTCACGCCCAAGACCCACTCGCGAGTTCAAGTTTTTTGAAGCAATTCGTTACGATTCTTACTGGAATCGTGCGACATCTAAGAGAAACAAAATCAACCAGTTTCGTATCAGGTCAACAGTGACATCTATAATATTCTTAAAAATTCCTCTAAGGCAGACATCTTGCATATCCTAGGTGTCACTTTATTTCTTTGTACAACGTGGGATCCAGCATTACGGTCCATATTATAGTTCAGCATGCATGAGCAGCAGACTGCAGAGGTTACTGCTGTATACTGATGTATACAGCACTGTACTGTACATAGTTTTTACTCCAGTATTGTATATTAACCCAGATGCCTAACCGAGAATAGGGAAACATATCCTGTACTTCAATGAAGGAATTTATGTTTTGTGTACATCACCAAATTGCTGGAAAAGCTCAAATTATTGAGGATTGGGGATGTCATCGTCAATAATATGGCACTGAAAAATACAATAAGAGTACGCAGCATGCCTATATAAATAATGAACGTATAATATACCACTTTTAAACCAAAATAATTGGATCCTTCATTCCAAGAATAATAAAAATGAACAATGGAATAGATAGGAAATGTACTTTTTGTAAACGGAACAGCTCCATATGTATATCTTACGTCGAATAATGTGTATATATACAGTAGTTGATGAAAGGGAATAAATACACTGTACTGTATATATATAATAATCCATAAAACCCAGCAGGATTTACAGTACACAATTTGCAATTCATGCTGTGAAGTCTATTTGTTTATATACTGATGTATATATATACAGTATATACGTTGCAAATAATTAATAAAGTCCATCAAGAACCAAACTAATCTGTGCTGGTAATGAAATTAAGTAATTTTAATACAGTAAATATAAGCAAGTTTATGTTGTATATTATACTGATGTAGTCAAGATCCATCGATCTTATCAAATTAATAATGACTGCATGCTGATATGCTTCTCCCCTATATAATACAGTAAGAGGCGAATATAGTGTACTCAGCATCATATAAGCCCTTCATTTTTTTAATACAGCAGTATATAATTCATCATGCATCAGACATATAATAACTCATCATCAGAAGGATCGAGCTAGCTGCATGCATGATGCATGTATATATATATGCTGCATGCATGCATGCCATTCAAACAGCAGCAGCAGCATGCATGCATGCACAGCAGGCGGGAATGATGAGGACGGCATTATGATCCACATATACTATATATGCACCGTGTGATGGTGGCGGCGTCATTATATTGTTTATGTATAGCATAAGCTTTATTATTATTGATCGATACACGTACTGCTGGACGACGTACTTATTGATTCAACAATAACGCATGATATATATGTCGTACTATATACATCTGGATACAGCATGATGAACCCAGAATATATACAGTATATATAGAGGCAGGAACAATAAATAAGCATGAAGAAATGCTGAATATAATGAAGAAATAATGCAGCTGTTTGGTATATTAATTATGTTTTCAAATTCATTGCCCTGTCTCATCCACTTCAGAAATGTAATTAATCCCTTGCCCAAACAGTATACTGTATAGGTTATTGGTTCGCCTTGTATTTTGTTGGTGTAACCACAAACTTATGGAGCCTTTGCCATCGCTCAGCACCAGATTTTAAATACATTAGTTAGCCTTCTAAAATGATTTTAAATTCCAAAGAACGGCAGTGCAAAAACTATATGTGAACTAATTATTCAAGACACATTCTGAAAATTTACAAGACATTATGGAATTAGAATAAATTTACTGGATAATTTGCGAGCAGTATCTTGCAAGTATATCAAATGCATGTTTTGTAAACTTATGACGTACGGTATTCATGTTTGGCTGAAATTCCTGCTCTATACATTTCTTCCAGCATTTTTGAAAGCCATCAGTAATAGTTTTCATTTGATTCCTATATATACTCAAATTTGTTCAAAAAACTTTCCAGAAACTATATCTACTCCAAGTTTTTCTAATTGTTTCTTCTTTCAATTATTTGTCAATTGAAAAAATACTTGCAATAATTTAGGAACATCTCAACACTTTCTGCTATTCATTTGACAGCGATTTATGCTTTTTGCGCTTCATATGCAGCTCCCCACACAGATTTCTGGAAATCTTGGTGAATGATGATGTAACGACGTAGTCTTATATATGGAAAACAGTGTTGGAAAATTCGCAGCAATTGAACATTTTATGCATTGGAGGAATTTGCCATGATTATAATGATTTCATTTGATATATATAAGATCTATAGCTGATGAGCATTCCCAAAAAATTCATGAGTTGATCAAATAAGTTGAATCTTTGCCCCTCCGCACCAATTTAACTTATTACCTTGTTGTTATATACATTTCATCAAAGTGACTTCATTATTAATCTCTCCATGGGCAAACCCATCATGCGGGGGACTTGAACATTTGTTCATACTGCTCATGTTCAAACATTTATTTTATCCATCTTTTAAAGTTTCGAACACTAAGAAGGCGGTTACTGCATATTTTCCCACCTGAACGAACATATCTAATGTTGCTTAACCAAATCAGCATGCAATCAAATTGAAAAAATGCAACTATATGATCTCAGATCAAATTTAATGCAGTGTAAACCCAAAAGTGCACAACATGGTAGAGATCAATTCACTCACTGAATAGCATTTGAAAAATTAAATATTTATTTTAAACTTTTTTTCTCGAATCATAATTGCATCATGTTTCCATCTGCTTTGCAGAATAAGGAAATAATTCACCTCCATGCTGGACAGGATAAGATTCCTACTCCATCAATAAGAAGAATGGTGTTCATCACTTGCACAGGATATCTTACAATTTCTTCTACGTATTGGCATTTTATAGGGTTTAAAATATATTAAAAGCGCAAATCTCCTTTAAGTTTTGAAGAGATTTCCTTTGTTCATGTGTTGGAGCTTCAAGTGCGTTTTCCTTCAACTTTTTATACATCACTTATGTGCATAAAAATTGAAATTATTTCATGACCTATATAGCATTTAAAAAGGTTGTGAAGAATTAAAAAAAGACCATCTGCTTTAAGGCTCAAACAAAATGAAAGTGATGTGGACTTGTTATGTGATTTCAGTTTCAATGAAGTCTATGTTGAAAGTGGTCTTTTGTACCTGCTCAGTTTTTATTTGTCAGTCAATTTCATGAAAAGTTATTGTCTTAAATTTGAATGTGAATAAATTCTAGAATTGATGGAATTTTGAACTTTCCCCATGACCAAGATGTGCTGACTATATACTGTACCTCATGATCATGGCTATAGCACATGCCGTTCAAACAGCAGCAAGGAATGAGGACGACATGATCCACACTGTCTCATGTTGGCGACATCATTGTATTTGTAGCATAAGCTTGTACACTGGACTTGATTCAACAAAGCATGATGTCGTACTACATCTGGATGCATTGCGCACCGAAAATTGAGGCAGGAACGAGCATGGGCAAATGCTGAATAGTTTTTTTTTTTTTTTTTTTTCACGCCCTTCCGTTCCTTAATATTAGCCTCAAGATTCGGCATCAATGAGTGTCAGCCTAATTAATCAATTTCGCAGAGAAACGCTGATACAGGTGACGAATAATGAACGTATATTGTGCGAAGACCAAATAGCTTCTCAGTTATGGTGGATATAAATTCCAGACAAGGGTGGGCATTTCAAGACAACAAATTACACACGGATACACCAGTATCAGGTGCATTTCATTCTTCCCACGCATACATACATACAGTACACACTTACCGACAGACAGACAAATTAACCAGGAAATGTGGACAACAGAAGGAGAGGGAATGAGAGAGAAAGATTTAGGGACAAGTGACGATCATACAGTAATCCTCCTCAATATCGTCTGCCTCTGCCTCTGCCACCACCACCACCACCCCCAGATCCACGACCTGCTGATGGTGTCCACGGATGCATCACAACGGGCTCATCGATGCGGAAGGCGCCGAAGTCCGAGTCCTTGGCCGCGTCGTATCGGTGACGGAAGCGGGCCTCCAACTGCCGCACGTACGCCGTCTGTTCCGGGCTCAAGTCCGTCACATCCGACAACGGCGGCAGGTCGCGTGTTCTTTCTTCTTCTTCTTCTTCTTTTCCTCTTCCTCCTCCTCTGCCCACTGATGCTCTCATCTTTCCTTGCACACCGTTCTCCGGTGACGCCTCCTTGTCACTCTCACTGTCACTTTCGTCGTCGTCGTCTTCTTCATCATCATCATCATCTTCTTCGTCGTCGTCGTTGGACGAACAAGGTAAGATAGACTGGACTGCCGCATCCGTCGACTCGTCACTCGACCACGCTCTCGACATTCCTGCTTCATTCAGCATATACAAGCAGCTCGTTATTCATTCGAGGCAAAAAGAAGGGGCAATTCACGCTCAAATAAACGGGGATGATGGTCAGATTTTCCCAATTGTAGATACTGTATATACGATTTCGTGTTCATCCCCAAATCCCGTCGTCGAACACAGTACAAGAAAAGAAAAGAATCAAACAAACGAGGATGCACAAACAGATAGATTCATCCATTCATTGAACGAAAGGACGAACGGCACTTTCCTCCTCCTGTCAAAAAATGAAAGAAAAAAAAAAAAAAAAAAAAAAGCCATAAATATACTGTAACAAATTAAGGAACGGAAGGGGGTAAAAAAAAAAAAAAAAAAAACAAGCCATACATATACTGTAACAGGAAATAAACGGCGCTGTTCTCAGTCTAGACAGACGAGAAGAGACAATGAAACAATTGAAGAAAGACAAATGGCGATTATGAACCACCGACATTCATTCATTCATTCATCCACTCACTCAACTCAACTCAACTCACTCGTCCGTGCGGAATCTCGCAAGTCAGCGTCAGTCTCTCAATTTGAAGATTCTCGCCCGTTTGTGTGTGTGTGTGTGTGTATGATGTGGAAATGTCACTATACAGACTGACTACACACACCCACACACAACACCCCGTGTCTGGCGAAAACAACAACAAAGACGACGACGAGGCAGGTCTTTATCGATTACCGCCATCGTCGTCATCCGATGACGACGAATCGCTGGCCTTATCCTTTGACAAAGACTGTTGCTTCTTCTTCTTCTTGTTGTTTCCTCCTCCAGCCTGCTTCTGCTTTTGTTGCTGCTGCTTTGCCTTCTTCTTTTTATCATTATTACCACCACCACCAGTATTATTATCCTTTCCCCCGCCCGTGTCGTCGTCGTCGTCGTCGTCGTCTTCTTCCGGCTTGTAGTGCCGATACTCGGGCTTCAACTCCCACATGTTCTTGTGGGGGGCCTTGAGGTTGTAGATGCAAAACTCTTTGAGCAGTTCCTTGAGATACGTCTACAAGAGCGAAAAAGAGAAAGATAAAGTACAATTAAGTTGGTTAGGTACTATGCTGTACTGTATGTACTTACAATTGGCTGCTGCGTGATGGTGCACAGGTCCTTGATGTTGTAGTACTGGTGCTTCTCAAAGGCAGCAAAGAGGCTCTCGAGCACCTTGTCTCGCTCACCACGAGCCTTCTTGCCCTCGGCCTTTTTCAGCTTCTCAAATTCAATCTGCGTCATCATTCATTCAATCAATTCATCTTTCAATTAAAAAAAAAAAAATACTGCACAGTACAGTACAGTACTTACATTGTGACGATGATCCGCCACTGGCTTGTAGTTCTGAATGGCCTTCTCGAGCTGGATGACCGTGCGCGTGGGCTTGGACGAGTCGCGAATCATCTGCGCCTTGTGCCGCATGTAGGCCAGGTCCGCCACGGGTCGACACTCGGCCCGCTGCACCACCTTGCCCTCGAGCTGCAGTCGAGTCGTCGTCGAGTTACCACCTGCATGCAATACGATGATGATGATGACGGGAGTCATCGAGGAATGTCATTTTACATCCCCTCTCCGCACGTCATCGGTCGAATCCACGATCAAAATATGCACAATCGATCCTCACTGCGTCCAACAACAAAAACAACAACAAAGATGACATTTTTTTCTTCTTTTGAAAAAAAAAAAAAACTCATTCATTCATTCTTTTTTTTTTTTTTTTTGGGTGAATAAAATACGCACCCACTGTCGTTGCCCTCGTAATCGTTGTCGTCGTCTTCCACACTGCCGCCGCCGTCGTTGTCATTCTTGCTAGTCTTGCGCCCCCCACCGTCTTTACGTTTCATTCCCCCATCTCCTCCTCCGCCATCATCATCGTCGTCGTCGTCGTCGCCGTCATCGTTGTTGTCCCCGTCGCTGTCGGACCCATCACTACTGTTGCCTCCTCCTCCTCCTCCTCCGCCCGACTCCTCGCCGTCCTTTTTCGCCTTCTTCTTTTTCTTATTATTATTGCCATTTTTCTTGTTGCTGGCCCCTCCTCTCTTTTTACCTGCTGGCGAGGCAAGTACAGTACTTTTAGCCCATCCCGGAATCCATTCCTTCAACCCAGCCCAACAGACTACCAAGGCTTCCTTCCTTACCCGACAGAATCGATTCCGACTGCGAGAAAATGGCCAGCGTTTGAGCAGACATGGTAGCGACGGCGAGCTTGTAGTCCCGCGGCACGGCTTTGGCCCGATTCATTGACTGCGACGACGTCGCCGTCGCCCCAGTCATGTTCAGTGCCGACATGGCCGCCTCGGACAACGTGAGCGACACATTCGGCTTCATTCCCGGTGTCCTAATCAAAAAGAAGGGGGGTGGGTTGGGGGAACAAAAACAACAGGGATACTACACTTATTGTACAGTATCAAGCGCAATAAAGATGACCATAATCATCATCATCATCTCACGCACTTTTCAATGCGCAACTTGGCTGCCTCGGCATCGCCAGCCACCTTGTCCCAGGCCTCGGCCACATACTTGGGCACCTGCAGCAAACGAACAATAACAATTGAAAGGGAGGGATCGAGTGGAGAGAGAGAGAGAGACACAAGACCACACACCTTGACGAGCCACACGCCTCGTGCCCGATGCGAGCAGTCCAACTCGTCCGCTTTCGGCAGTCCAGCCATGCCTGCCTGTTATTTGTCCGTTTCTTGATTTACCACACTAATCCACTCGCTCAGTACACACTAGCTTCTTTCCTTCTTACTATACGAATAAGACGACGACAAAACGGACGCGGGGAGGGGAAGGAAAACAAGAAAATGTTTAAATGGCACTACTCCTCCTTTGCATCCAAATGAGAGATGGAAAAACAAAAACGAATCGTCTCAGATTTTTCATTAGTCAGCGTAGGCAGTAGGGACGGGTTTTTCCCTTCACTTCATTTCCCACCTTTGCTCGTCCGCCAACAACAACAACAAGGGGAAAGAAGAACAAAAAGGCGGGATTCACAATCACAGTCAACAAGAGGCCCTCTGTTTCCTCATCCCTTCCTTCCTTCCTTCCTTTTTGCCGACTCGAGTCGACAAAGCATCGGCCACACTTTTCAGCGCGTCGACGAGCCTAGCACCTGTCTCCTTCAAGTTCTCCTTCTCCTCGTCGTCGTCCTCCTCGGCAGAACAAGCAGGTAGCGGCAGACGCAGGGCTTCAGCGTAGCACTGCTTCACGACCGCAAGTCTCTCCGCTTCGACCATCTCCTCCTTCTCTTCTTTAGGCCTGCGAGGGCACCAACGACAACAGAATGACAGTGCATGCATGTAGAAATCAAGACAGAGACAGACCTTTTGTTCATCCGCTTGGCGAGTGCCAAGAGCCCGGCCCTGAGACGCTGCACCAACACACGCAGGATCGTCCGCATGTCCTTCACTTCCTCGCTCTCATCACCATTTGAGTACAACGAGGACGACAGAGACAGACTCGACAGCGCCTTCTCAAGCGCATCACGGCATTCCAGCAGGCGGTCCAACGACAACGACCCTCGACATTCTTCTTCTCCTTCGACCTCAAATTGCTCCGTCAAGGCAGTGAGAGCCACCAAATCCTTGAGCGCGTCCACGGGCCGGTCAATGGCGAGAAACACAGCGGCTGCAGCCGACAAGTGACGTTCGGCCAGAACACAAAGACGTCGTCGTTGGTGTTTCAAAGACTCGTCGTCCTTCTCCTCTGAACATTGGCTTCATTCCCATAGACAAGCAAAGCAATGCAATGTAAAATTGTGGCTAAATCAGTCCAATCCTCTTCATTTCACTCACTCACCAGTTTCCACGAATGGCACCGTTTCGCTGACGCACGCCGTGATGCCACAATGATCCGAGTCGACGGTGCAGCATGGCAACTCGGTACTGATAAAACACTGCCTCGTCGTCGTCTTCCTCTTTGCCCCTTTTTCGATTGTAAATACAAATAAAAGCAGATGGAAAAATTCAATTCAACTCAACTCAACTCACTCATCATCATCATCATCATCGCCGCCACCAACACCGCCATCAGCAGCAGCAGAGTCTCTTCCCGGCAACAGGAGGGCCCTGACACAGTCCATACTGGCTTCCAAGGCCTGTGCAACTTGCTGCTCGCGGTCAGCCAGAGCTTCTTTGTTGTCCAAGGACTCGGCCTGGTTCCAGTCCTGCATGACCGAACCCAAGTTCAAGTAGGTGGTGGATAGGTCCCAGCGGAACCGACGAGCCAGCTCTCGTCGACCAGCGCTGCTTCTCATCCTCATTGCAACTGTCTCCTCCTCCCTCTTCTTTGTCTTCTGCTGCTGCTTCTTTTTCTTCATTGCTGTTGCCTTCATCTCACTTAATCCTCCCTCCTCTGACTCGACGGCCATCAGACTGCGCTTGTACCACTCGACAGCGTCACGCAAAAACTGCTTTTGCTTTGCGGCCACCTTGGCCCACGAGGTGGAGATGGCCCTACCTGTTCCACCACCACCACTGCCAACAGCCAGATGGGCCCTAGTCCGTGATAGACGCCCCAGATTGGCGCACACCACTGCCACGTTGATGACATCGCTGACCGCCTGGAAAACGCGCATTGCCCGATGCAGAACGCGCTCAGCCTCACTCAGCCATTCTGAGTGACAAGTGACTGATGATGATGATGACGTTGATACAGGAGCAGTCCTAGTAGTAGTAGTAGCAGTAGCCAAGGCAACAACAACATTGTCGTTGTTGTCCACATCATCATCATTTCTTCTCATGTGCAATGTTGACGCGCAGTTCAAGAGTCGGGCACCTAATTCGTTGGCGGCACCACCAAGACGACGAAACAGCCGCGTCTTGGCCTTGCCATTCAATTGTGGTCCGCGTGCGGCAAGCTCAAATGCTGCCAGACTTGCACGCAACAAATCTATTGAGTCCGAGTCTGTTGTTGCTAATGACGGCAACGACCATGTCCCACTACTTAATGCACACAAGTCTGCTACTGCACGTCTGACTTCCGACACAGACAATGATGATGATGAATCATCCAAGTATTCTTGATTCTTTCTTATCCCTCCTCCTCCCCCTTCTTCTTCTTCATCATCATCATCATCATTTCCCTCGGTTCGACCAACAGCCAACACAAAATTGGCGTGACCTGTCAGACTCAGCGCCAGACTCTCAATTGTGTCAAGATCCCGCTCCAAACATGCGTCCTTCTGCCAGCGTCTCGCCAAGAACCCGGCTTCACGCCTGAATAAAGCAAAGCAATTGATTGTCAAATTACATTACATTATATTAAAATACTGAACAATCAATCAGGAAGGTAGTCAGCGCGCAAGTGTTGCAAGTTCTCACCTACAGAAAAGGGCAGCGCTGGCAAAGTACCGAGCCATCTGCGCCCGACTTGCACCGGATCGACAACAAAGACAATGGTCTGCTGCAACTAGACATGCCGTCGCCGCCTTTCGCCACAACAACAAGGCGAGTTCGGCCCTATTGCTCAAGTCATCTCCCTTCTTGTTGTTGCTGCTGGTGCCACACGATGATGAGGATGCAGTTGTTGGTGCATGGAACACCTGCACTATGCTCTCACTCTCCCCCACGGGAGTCCACAACAATGGGATGGCGGTAGAACTGGGGCCACAATAATGCTGCAAGTAAACCAATTCAAAATTACAGACAGACAGACAGACGGACAAAGATTGTCAACATTAAAAAAAAAAAAAAAGAAAGAAAAAAACACAAATAGAGAGAGAGAGAGAGAGAGACATAGAGAGCTCACTCTTGTTCGAACAAGTGACAAGACTCGCAAGGCCTTGACAGCATGCTGCAAACACAGCGAGGCTCGCTGTACCGGCGCAGCAGGCAGTCGGAATTGCAAAGATGCTGGCACGCACTCCCCCTCTACGTCTTCTCCTTCGGCGTTGTTGTTATCATTGTCTTCTGTCAATGATGGCTGCGTTGTTGGAGGCGGTGTTTGAGATGACAACAACAGCGTCTTGGTGCTGATGCATGTCGGCATTGTCATTGACGACACTGCACCTGCATTCTCACCCAGCCTCACTGGGACACGACAACATTTTCTCACAACGTCTACCACTTCCTTTTCCTTTTCTTCCTCTTTTTTGTTTTGCTGCTGGTTGTCATTGTCCTCCTCCTCATCCTCCAAGACCCGCAAACACCTCAAGTCCTCCAGACACAAGTTGGCCAGCATAAAGTGTGACCCAGACACCACCTGTGGGGAGAGGAATGAATGGAATAATAAATGAATATTGTTGTTGTACACTCGCAATTTTACAAATCACAGGCAAATACCCTGAGCATTGTTAGCCATTATGAGGATGATTCCATGAGTGTCAACTATTTGATTTAATGTTAGATTTGCTCCCTCTTTACCGGGCGTGTCCTAAACTAAGTACTTATGTGATTTTCAAGTGAATAATATGAGTACTGTACTTTTGCTGCACAAGTATCATTTGTTATAATCAACATATGCAAATACAAGGCTTCCTAGCACAGACTCTTCTCCTTCTAGAGGGGCTTTAACCACTGAATATAATGCTCAATTTCAGGGCCTTCATTGGAATATGGGAAACCAGACTATAAGGGAGGTCATAAAACAGACCTGTCAATCGGGACAAACAAAAGAAAGGATATTTAAAGCTATTCTGCAACAGCGTTTCACCAGGGTATAATTATACAGCAGAGATACCACCTTGGGCGGCATCATATACAGTATTAGATGAGAGAGAAACAGCATTGCGCTCATGCACGCAGGCGTTCTGCATTAATGAGCAGGACAAGGGGAAAGGAAAGGTTGACACACAGCACAGCCAATAACAATACAGTAAATACATACATACAGTACAGTACAGTACAGTACAAGGATCACTCTCTCACCCCGGAATGCTCTGTCTCATCCAACAATGCAACGCAATTTGTGAGCAATGAGCCAATTGTGCTCACAGCTCGGCGTCCCTTCATTGTCTCATGCGTCAGTAGGTTCTTGGCCACCCGGTAGAGGAGTAGGGCCACCGGCACAGTGTAGGGATTCTCCACGCTTCCACCATCGTCCGACTCTTCTTCTTCTTCTTTGCCTTTCTCATTCCCCAGTCTGATTGTGTTCTTTTCCTCTTGCTTTTGAATGATGACGTTGTTGTCTTCTTCTATCTGCTGTTGTTCCTCCTTGTGCTGTTGTTGTTGCTTCTCACACCTCTTTTTCTTCTTCTTTTGCTGCTGTTGCTTCTGCTGCTGCTCCTGCTCCTCCCTGTCTTGTCGGCAAAGGCTGGTGAGATCGTATAGTTTGACAACGTCGTCATTTTTGCCTGATACAGTAAAATCTCGTTACTAAAAACTCATGGGTACCTGAGAAAAAATTCGTTAAAGCAAAAAATTTGTTGTAATGAGATAGATGGATTTAGTTATAGATGAAACACTGCCCCTGAAGTCTGTCTTTGCAGGATTCCATATTGTACAAAAACTGACTTTGGGGCAGTAAGGTTGGGTCAGGTTATGTAAGTAAAAATAGAGTACAGTACAGTGGTGCCTCACCAAACAACCACACCCACCAACGGCCATTGAAAACCTTAGAAAAATGTCCCGCCCAGCAACCATTTGTTGCTAGGCAGGCAACTCCAATTTTGACGTAATTTTTTTTTTCCACCAAATGCCCCACTAACTTATTTTGTACATTCTTTCAGAGAATTAAGTGCAAAACAAAGGGAAATATAATACAGTAGTTAAATTAAGGATGGGGCCAAATACTGTAATGGCAAAAAACAGAGGACATCTTCCATCCATCAGGAAATTTCAATTGAAGTGAAGCGCAAAATTTTGAAGAAGATTGAAGAAGGCTCTGAAGTGATTTAGCTTGCCAGGGTGTATGGATTCAACCATTCCACAATAAGCACTATTTTGAAGAACAAAGATGCAATCTTGCAAGCAAATGTTCCAAAAGGAGTTTCCAAGATTTACAACACAATTCATGGAAAGCCAATCAGTAATGAGATGGAAAGGCTCCTTTTTGTGTGGATAAATGAAAGACAAATGGCTGGAGACATCACTACACAGGAAATCATCTGTGAAAAAGCTTGTGCAATATATGATGAACTGAACAAAGTGAATCCTGGAACTAGTGCACAGAAGACTGAGGAGTTCAAAGCAAGCAGGGGATGGTTCTTCAGGTTTAGAAGGAGAACTGGAATCCACAGTGTGGTGATGCATGGTGAGGCTGCCAGTGCAGATAAACAAGAAGCAGAGAAGTTTGTCAAAAATATCCAGAAATTTGTCAGTGAGGAAGGGTGTCATGCACAACAAATCTTCAACTGTGATTAAATTGGGTTGTTCTTGAAAAAGATGCCAAACAAAACTTTCATCACTCCAGAGGAGCTCAAGTTGCCAGGACACAAAGCAATGAAGGACAGATTGACAATCCTTCTAGGAGCAAACCTGAGAGGTGACTTGAAACTATAACCCTAGCTTTTCTATCACTCAGAGAATCCAAGGGCTTTCAAGAAAAACAGCATCATCAAATCAAAGCTACCTGTCATGTGGAGAGCCAACAGGAAAGCTTTGGTGACTCAGGTGATTTTTAAGGAGCGGATTCTTTCAGTCTTTGCTCTAAGTGTTAAGAAGTATCTGAGGGAAAAAAACTTTGGAGGTAAAAGCATTGCTCATTATTGACAATACCACAGGCCTCCCAAAAGCCTTGGAGGAAACATTGGATGAAGATTATGAGTTCATCAAGATCCAATTCCTGCCCCCAAATACAACTTCTCTTCTTCAGCCCACAGACCAGCAAGTAAGTATTTGCCAGCTTCAAGAAGTTTTATACCAGAGGGCTGTTCAGAAGATGCTTTGAGGCATGTCAGTTTTCAGCTGCCTTAACGCTGAAACGATTCTGGAAGGAGACATTTGACATTGTGGAATGCATGAGGTTGATCCAAAAGGCATGGAGTGAAGTCAGCCAAATAACTTTAGCTGCAGCATGAAAGAATTTGCTTCCTTCCTTAACCAAACAGACAGAAACAACAGATGACAGTGAAGTGGTTCAGGACATTCTCTCCATTGCAAAAGATTTGAAAATTGAGGAGGAGTAGGAAGATGTGGAGGAGCTGATGATGAGCATCAGGAGGAGCTTACCATTGGAGAACTGCAAGCCATACTTCAAGAAGAACATCAAGAAGAACAAAATTCAAAAATCTGATGAAAAAAAAATTTGAGAAACTTGGGACAAGAATTCATTTTAACCAGAGATTCTGTGACAAAGTAATTTGTTCAAACGAGATTTTTATAACACTGCGCATAAGGCAAACTGCCGGGACCAATGAAAAAATTCGTTATAACAATATTTGTTGTAACGGAATTCTACTATGCACAATACACAGTAAAGTACTGTATACACACGATTGAATCAAACCCATGCTCAAGCAAAGGAGGAGGAGGAGGAGAATTAATATTTTCTGCACCTTTAAAGAGCCAATACGTGTGGCCCGGCAACGTGGCGTTGGACTTGAGGAAGCTGAGGATGTTGCGTGCCACGTCCTTGACGACAAGCGGCGAGAAGCCGTTGGCGCGCGGGAGGTCGTCTGTGCGGAAACACTCGTACTTGCGCACGATCCCGTCCAGGTGGTAGCACATGACGAGCTCGGGCACGTTGCACATCAAGTTGTCCAGCCAGTAGTCCAGGCCGGTCAGGACAGTGATGGGGCGTCGGACGTCGTGGAGGCGGAGGGACACGACCGGGTGAGTGCCGCCGCCGTAGATGGGCATGTTGGACCCTGCAAAAGTCGAGTCAAATCAAATCTATCCACCGATCTACTGGCCGGCATTCTTTTTCCCAATGACGAGTCGGGAAAATGGTGGACTCGAGACACGGACACCAACAACAACAAGAAAAACTCACCAATCAACATGCGAATGTCTTCGAAGGTCCACAAGAGGGTTCTGGAAAACACGGGATGATCAGCGTAGGAGGAGGAGGAAGAGTTCTTTTCCTGCTCCTGTCGTTGATGATGATGATGATGATTAGACGATGACAACACGATCGGATCCTTGTCCGAGGCAAGACTGCGGAACAGAAACTTGGACAGGAGGTTCTTGGACGCCAGGGCCTGGCGCGTATGTCGCTTGGCGGCACTCGTGCCCCGCGACGGCGGCCAATAGTCCACCCCACCCCGCACCTCGTCCACGAGCAGCGTGCGCCCCACGCGGTGCACGAGCAGACTCACGGCGTCCGGGGCCAGCGGGAGCTTGAGGATCGTCTTGATGTGCTCCGCGTCGGCCACCACGTCCACCGAGTCGAGCAAGTGGGCCCATGCAGCAGCCAAGGTGCCCGACGACAACTCCAGTCCAGCCGTGCGCGGACGGGGCATGAGAAACCAGGTGGGCAGCGAGTGCTGGCCCGCACGCACCACGCCGTGCAGCCAGTTGTCCGGGGCCAGGCGCAGGTCCGTGTCAGCACCCAGCTCCAAAAACTGCGGGATCCCAGGCACCAGCGAAGACTGCACAACGGCCGACGACCGCACTACACTCTGGCTCTCTTCTCCTTCTCCTACCCCCACAACACCCTGTCGTCGTCGTCCTCTCTCTTCCCCACCGTCCGTCTCTTCTCGTCGTCCTCCTTCCACAACCATCACCACCTCGGCTAATCCTCGTTCTTCTTCTTCTTTTTCCTCGCTATTGTTGATGGCATGATTATTATCATCGTCGTCTTTCACACTTCCCGGATTCACAGGATACATTTCCCGCTCATGCGCTTCTTCCCTCCCATCTTCCTACGTCCCAAGCTATACGTGCATGAAAAGAAAGAAATGAAAAAAAAAAAAAAAAAATTCACGGTACTGTCCACTCCGTATCATAAAAACAAGAAAATGTAGTGTACAGTATATAACAGGCTCAATTTGCGTGAAATGATACCGCATCAACTTCATTTCTTCTCCGCACTCCCGCTAAGAGCAGAAAAAAAAAAAAAACAAAAAAAAACCGAGGATCACGACTTCTTGACGAAAATATCCTTCAAGGGCTCGATGATGGCGCCCTTGTGGACCCGCACCCGTGGCACCCGCAGGGCTGTGGCTGCCGTTTCCGGCACGAACGTGGATCCGATCGGCGCCCGTACAGAGTTCTCATAGTCCACCACGTTGTTGTAGGGGAACGGCAACTCCGAGACTTGAAAGCGACGAGCAGCAGCGTCGCGACGAGAACTCAGCACCGTGTGGCCCACAGTATACACTACTGACGACGGACGGTCCGTCGACGACGGAATCGGGCCACGGGCCTTGCGCCGGCCTCGCTTCCCGGTCCTATCGACAACTACGCCCCGCTTGCCACCCCAACAGCCCCAACCCGGCGGCTCTGTCCCGCTGCTGGGCTTCTTATCCTTCTTCTTGCCCTCGTCCAGCTCTGCTTGTGCCAGTTCGGCCACCACATCGTCGGCAGCAAACGCCTCGGCCACCAAGTCTGCAGTCATCCCTCCATATTGCTGCTGCTCGTCCATTTGCCCATCGACATCGTCATCGTCGAGGGCGTCCATGGCCACGTTCATCTCGTCCGGCGCTTGGGTCCCACTCACGACAACCTCCTTCACTGACACAAAGTCAGACGGGTTGATATCCGCCGCCGTTTTCCTCCTCTTGTTCTTCTTCTCCTCCTTCATCCTTGCATCCTTCCTGTTCCGCTCCTTGATGTTTTCCCACAAGCCATCGTCCTCAACAGGCTTTTCCGTATGATTCTCACCCTCAATAGCCCGGCGAGCGTCACTTTCCTCTTCATCGCCACTGCTTTCATCTCCCAACGTTCTCTTTTCCGTCAACTGCTTGCTCAAGCGGAGCTGCTCAGCCAACGCTTTCCGCGCCTGCGCAAAGGGTTGAAATCGATTAAAGAAACGAAAAGGAATTGAAGATAAAGGTACGGGGAAATGACCTCTGGGTCGTGCTTGGCTCTAATAGCCAGGGCCTGGGCCCAACGACCACCCCCCGTCGAGGACGCCGTCGGTGGCCGATGCTTGAGCGACATGCGTTCCGCCACGCGACGACGGTCCAGCTCGTCCAAGGCTCTCGTCTTGACAGCGTCCGCCCCTTCGCCGCCAGTGGCCAGCAGCCGCTCATCTCGCCGCAGCCGCTCCTTCTTGGCGTGTCGATGAAACGACCGACTCTTGATGCGCTTCTCACGTCGCTGCCGGGCCTCGTGGTACGACTGCAGAGCGCGGAACCGGGCCATCTTGTTTCGCCGCTCCTCCATGTCCCGCACGCGCGCCGAGTCTCGCTTCTTGTCTTCTTCCTCTTCTTCTGCATCCTCCACTTTATCAGCCTTCTTCCTCTCCAACTAGGCCGAAAAAAAAAAAAAAAACACACACACACACGCGCGTGAAAATCTCTAGGTAGGAGTCCATCTGTCTTGGCAGCACTCACCTTTTCATGTTTGCCGGCTGCCAATGCAGCTTCCAGCCTTTGCTCCAAGCTGGCAGCAGTCTCGTCGTCGTGGTCGGACTTGGTCTTCGACGAAAAACAGACCGAGGATCGAACAAAGTCTTCAGCTGCTCGCAAGGTGAGCTTCGGGTTGTCCAGTGGGAACACGAGCTGGTCTTGTCGCCGATGGCGGGCCACAGTCGCGTCCCAGCGGGCCACGTGACCCGCAGCCGACTCGTAAGCCAAGTGCCTCCGCAGTCGGTCCTCGAGGCTCTTGGGTAGTGGGGCACTCACGGGCCCGCCTCTTTGGCCGCCAGCAGCATTCCCAGACAGTGTTTGCAGGAGTGCAGCAGCATGACGCCGACTCGGACCACACTCCGCCACCGCCGGCTTCTTCGCCAACCCCGAGCCCGACTCGGAATCGGCTGTAGGCGAGGGAGTGTCGTCTTCGTCAACAAGGACGCGCACAAGGTCATCGGGTCGCAGAATGGCGCCATCTCGCTCAGCACCGAACCCACTCACGTCGGCCCGCTCCTCCAGAGTCCAGCAATTCCTGACAATGTAATATTGCAAACAAGGCTCGTTCAAAGAAATTAATCCAATGAAACTCCTCCTTCCGCCTTTCTCACTCGTCTTCATTGTCTGCCAAAACGATCTTTTTGAGCGACGAGAGTTTGGCCGCGTCTCGCGACGACATCGCCTCATGGTCCAGGTTGAGCAAACGCTCATTTTCCTCCGCCTCCTCGCCTGCTGCTCGTCTCAACAACGACACTGCGACCTTTCCCTGCATTTCTACAAAAGAACGAAGAAGGAATCAAGATCAATCATCAAAATGATCACGCCTTCCTCCTCAGACAACAACAACAAATTCAAACACTGTTCATTTCCTTCCCTTTATTCTCCACGCACACACACGCAACTATAGAAAGCACTGGCTGATCACATGAGAAAGAGAGAGAGAGGGGGTTGGAGCAAGCAAGGCACTGCTTCAAGCATCATTCAACCAATCAATCAATCACACAGTGCATACAGCAGCACTCGTAACCAGACGAAAGGGAAAAAAAATCCCCATATAAAATACGCACGACAAACGTGGGAACACAGTATCATCATCATGATCATCAAGACAGGCAAAGGCACTCAGTTCGAAGGCACTCTTCATCACAGCTTCTGTTGAATTGCTTGGCTCTATCCTCGCAACTCATCTCCAAAAGTCTAACGCGACTAGACCACTTTCCAAATCTCCACTCTGACACACACACTTTTTCAACGCCCGATCTCCTCTTCGATAAGGGCTGCTTGCGGACAAATGGTGGTCGTTTTGACACCTACTCCTTCTACTACCGCCATCAAAACTGTCTCCGCATCAAGGCACCAAAAAAAAAAAAAAAAAACCAAACGAAAAACACGCAGACACATAACCATCCATTCATTCATTCACCATGTACTCGAAAACGAACAAATTATCAAACGTATTGATCATCTCCAATGAGTGACAGAGGAAGATCTGCGGTGGTCTTGCTCGGAAATCCGCCGGCGTATCTTCCGGTGCCAGGCAGCGGGAATGCACCGAGCCGTGCCCATTGCGCGCTGACAGCTGTCATATGCAGCAGGCTCGCACTTCATCTTGTTGCCAACCTCCTCCTCTTCTTCTTTTTCTTCTGCGTCATCGTTCCCGGTCAGACTTGGCGACGACGATCCCACCCCGATTGGCTTCACGCGCGACAATGTGGCAGAAAATCCAAACTGCGAGACAGGAATGGGGACTCGAACGTCATACGCAGCCACAGCCAGTTGGGGTTCCAGCGAGCCGTTCAACAACGGGCTCAGACTCCGGTCCCGCACAAGCGTGACAAAGCTCTTGCGAAACACAGATCGGATCCGTTCAAATGCCGCCTCGTCATACACGGACCGCGCAGTGTTGGTCAGCATGAAGGGCTCTGTCCGAATCAAAATGTAAAAAAAAAATTAATAAAATAATTTAACAAGGCCAAATAAGATGAAACAAGACAGACAATCAGACGTGTAATCACCTTCAACGCAGAGAAAGTTCCACTCGTGCGCATCTCCGCATCCCGACGACTGCTGTGGGGGCTGTTGTTGTTGATGATGATGTGACTGACAAGACAGTGCGAGCTGCGTCTTGTCAAATGCGGGGGCAGGTGTAACAGAGCTTGAGAGTGGTACAGGAAGAGCAGGAACAGTAGCAGTAACACCTGCACATCCTCCTCCTCCTCCTGTTGCATTGGTAGACAAAGTCGCAGCTGCAGCAGCAGGGGAGGCTACTCGAATATCTTCCACGGACAAGAGAGTGCCGAGCCGGACAGAGATGGCATGACGGTCGTATTGGAACCGGTTGGCAAAGTAGTCGAGGAAGCCGGCAAACAAGTCACCCAGACTCAGCGTGTTCTCAGTTCGCTTCATCAACAACTCCTCGTGCACGTCCAGTTTGTGCACATGACAGTCAGAGCCACGGAACTGGTCCGGAAGTTTCCGCTGCAGTGACGGCAACACTGCTGGAGAGACCCCGCCTGCAATAAAAAATAATACACAGAATAAGGCAATATAACCAATCCCGTCAATTGAATAAACAAATTACTCCTCACATTGGAGATAGTGAATGAGCATGAGCACCAGCGAGTAGCTCGAGATGGTCATGCAGCGGGCGTCGTTGATGCTGTTGCGCTGGGCCCAGAGCTTGACGAGCACGACAAGGGGCCGCACGCGCCAGTCCAGGTCTGCGTAGGCGCGCAAGAGTCGAGTGTTGAGCAGGCCCACTGTGTTGTTGCAGTTGACGTCCACCTCGATACCAGTGCGCACATCGGTGAACTTGACCAACGGGATCTTGGCAGGCACATACACCAGTCCGCGGACAGCTAGCAAAACATACAATTCCATTGGCATAAAATACAATACAGTACAGTATAGCGCAAGCATGGTTTTACTGAGACTCACGTCGATCCAGATTACTGTGCAACACCAGCATGACTTCTGTGAGGATGAGCGGTGCCCAGTCCCTCTGGTCAATTGGAGAGTCGGACACAATCAGACACATGTCCGCGTCACTCGTGTCCAATCCAAACCCGTTCACCGATGACCCCACAAGCACCAGACGACACCCGTGCGGAAAACGGCCACGGAAATGGGCCTGAAACAACAACATCTGCTACAGGCATTCAAACAAGTTTTTTTTTTTTACAGCCATTCCTTTCCATCGTCATTACTGCTATACGTTACTCATTTATTCAAAAACGCAGACATCTTTTCCTATTTGTTATTTATTCCTTTTTTCATACACATAACTTGGGTTTGTTCCGAGAGCCCAGATTCCACGGAATTCATTTCTGCACTTTCACTACCTGCATCATGAAAAAACAACGCCTAAACACTGTAGCTCTATTCCAAGATGAAAGCAAACACACCAAACATAATTTGTTCAGCTCTATCTCATCCCTTTTCAAGCCAATGCTACCATTGAGTTCCTACTCCCTGATAGACAATATTATTAATGCTCAGAGTGGGTATAAGTCATCTCCTCAAGCCTTCCCTAAATGGATCTATAGTGAGTCAGTGGTGGCAAATGGACTTACGCAAAAAGCATTGTCCCAAAACTGCTGCAATTGCAGTTTTTCTTTGGTCCGCTGCTGCGATTCCCGAGAGCTCACGTACAATGACCAGATTTCGGAGGAGAGAGCCGAGAACCGCTCTGCTTCACTGCTTCTTGATGGCACGCTCTCCACATGATTATACGGACTCACCTACACAAGACCACACAACAATGAACACGAGTGACAATGAAGAGGCGGTCTTACAATTGTTTTTTCTTCCTCTTGATTTTGTTTCTTCCTCACCAGTGCGTTGTCGTACTGCTGCAACAAGTTTGCAGGTGGCTGAAAGGGCAAGGGAACATCGCCGCCGACAAATCCACGCGATGCTGGCAACTGCTGCTGCTGCTCGCGGAACTGCGCCAAACCTGATGCACTGCGTGGATACACCATTTTTAACCATAGCCACCAATTCATTCTACGTAGGCAACACACTCACCCAACATTGCCGATTCCCGCTGCTCCCGTGAGTGGTGGAGGAACACTAAACATCCGTAAGTCTCTCATGTTGTGCGGCATCACTCCCATTGGCTCACAAGTCCCGGAAGATCCTGGGGAAGGCATGAAGTGCAGCGAACGTTGGAAAGTGAACGGGCGCGAGAAACTCGGGTGAGGCGGAATTTGCTGATAGTGCGGCGGCGGCAGTGCATTATGATGAGGTGTGTGCGAACCGGCAGGTTGCTTCATCTGCATCCGCACGCTTGGTGGAGGGAATGTGTTGAGGGGCACGGCATTCATGGGAGTAGGCAGCAGATACGAACATGCCAGCGGTGGCAGATGAAACGATAATCCAAACCTTTGATGGGGATGTTGATTTGAATCAACCCGTTCCCACACCTAACCATGAAGCACATTTTAAATAATCTTTTATTTTTCTTCTCTTGCAACTCTGCTGGATGATGCTTACTTGATTTGGGGGGGAACATGAAGTACTCCGGTGATTCGAGGAAGACCTGTTCTTTCGATAGCGATAATTCTTTGTTTCACAGCCAACACCTTTCTGGGAATGACCCCCTTCTTTCTTATTGGGCGGCAACAAAGCAACCCTAACAGGAACCCCTCCTCCATCGACCAAGCCAAGTTTCTTGCCACCTTCCACTATATCCGATCTTGTGATTTCTTCAACAGGATTGTTCGGGCTATGGACTTCCTTCGAGATTCTGAAACAAGTCCATCATTGTCAATTGTGCTAAAGCAATTACCACATCCTAATGCAACAATCTTTCCAAATTAGTAAAAGAAAAGGACTAATCCACACACACCGACAGAACTTTCCACATGCTTTCCCAGATGGGCAATTCTTCAGATTTATTCCAGGATCCACTGTCGTGTTGATGAGTGCCATGGGCAAAGAATCCAGGTCAACATGCATCAGATGAAGACCTCCACCGCCAGCTGACGCTCGTTGCTCAGACTGCTCTAATACTGGCGCCGTGCTACATTTCTTCCGATCGTGAGGTTGCACCGAGCAGGGCTCACGATTTCGTACATCACACGACCGCCGTCGAAACGACTGATAAAGATGACGAGGAGGTTTGCAATAGTTTTTGGACGGCATAACCGTCAACCAACCTATTTAGACATCCGAATCGATAGCACAATTTCACACAAAAAACCGGGACAGATGGCCGAGAATGGGTACAAGTCCAATCGGCAACTATGGAATCACAAAACAACCTTATGAAGGCACATCGGCCAGACTCTGCAAACGTTCAATCGCATTGACAAAGAGAGAAGAGCGATCCATTGAAATCTGAGAAACAAATTACATCACTTTCATTTTTGCCGGTTTCGCGGAAATTTTTGGGTTTTCTCTGCTTTCGCCGGTTGAATACACAGAATTTATGAATACAGTATGGGAACCCTAGCGGGACCCTTAAAAGCAACATCTAGGTTATTATCAGAGAGGCGCCAGCACCCGGATTATCCTCCCACTCAGGCTTCGCCAGGAAGGGGATGGCTGTCACGATCGGACGAGAGGTGCGCGATTTCAGAGCAGCGGCATTCATTCGGTCCTTGACTTTTGACGCAATCACTAATAAGGTTTAATAAGAGTCCCTGGCCAGCGTCACTTCAAAAGGAGCATTTGATTCTCAAATTCCAACTCCATAACCCGAGATTCCCGCAACACTATACCGCATTACACTCTTCACAATGTCTGGTCAAAATATAAGGGAAGTGATAGCGTCGAAAGTCTAGGGACTACATGTACAATATCTCACTGGGCGCTATTGAACTTTAGTGATGTCAGCTGGATATCAGCTTGATCGTTTCTAGCACGCGGCCATTTTTTACTCCTGCTGCCATCTATGTTTAATTTGCTTTCCTACAGTTCCCAATCCCTGGCAAAGAGTGACTTCAAAGCGGCGGCTTGTGGCGCTAAAGCTCAATAGCACCTATTGAGCTCCAAATACTCCAGGTAGGCAAAATCGTTGGGCGCAGTAACTTTCCGGTTACTGGGCTCACATGCATGCCTAGTCATCAGTAACAACAATCAGTATTTAAATTACAAGCAAATTCCAGGGACAAATCACACTTCACACGGCAGTCATGTGAGTGAATCCACGGTGTACGTAATTGAAATGCTTGATCATTGTTGTAGATGCGAATGTATGGCAGCATCCGAACCTGTCTGCCTTTCCGGTGTAGCAGGGGGTTTTCCCCTTGACGTTCGGACGTGATGATCCAAACCTTTGTGTGGGCACTATACTGTGTAAACCTAGTTCAACTTTGTATTTTATTTCCGTAGGTCAATCGATTCCTTTGCAATCTTTTTTTTGCTCACCTATTTTTTTGCTATTTTTTTTTATTAGACCCAGACTTAGAAGGATATTATTCTGTTCTAATAGAACGCCTTCATGATTCACTGCCATCTTATCGCATACATGTATCGATATAATATTGTAATGAGGGAATTCGGCAATTGATTTAATCGAAAACATTGCAAGAAACCAGGAGTCTTTCGTTGATAATTCAGACGTGAATTTTGTTCCACGGAAGCCCGCTTCGAAGGAGGTTCTGTGGGCATGTTGAAGAGTCTGCCTCCAGATTTTTTTCTCATTATCGTCGTTGATGCAATAGACCAGGTTTGTAATGGAACGCTTTTCTTTTTGCCATAGTCTTATCATTTCGTGATTGCTTCCAGGTTGAAAAAGTGATCCGTTTGATTGGCTGCCCGTCGATAATTTACCGAGCAACATCAAAATCATCGTTTCTATGGACAACACATCAGAATACCTGCCGAAAATCAAAGACATTTTGCCAAAAAAGTTCCTTGTTTTCGGTGAGTTTTTTGGGAAGACTTCTTTCCTCTTATTTGCTGCAAAAGCCTTCATTTGTTTTCTCTCGACAGTTGGAAAATCTCGCTCTGAATGATTTGATGAGTGTTGCCAAAGAGAATATGGCTGCTCATCAGCATCACTATTTACCGAATGCCAATGAGCTCGAACAAATCCGCAAATGCCTGTCGTCCGTACAGTCCATATGTGGAGTCCAGGTACTCAACCCTTTTTGTTCAAAGTGTCTGTAAAGTTGTCATTTATTTAGTTTTTGTGGAAATCTCCGCAGTTTTACTGTAAGTTAGGGAAGCGTGCAAAATGACTCTCCGAAGTCTGTGTTAGAAGATGCTTTATAAGTTTGAAAACAGCTGCTTGCAACAGAAATAAGGTGGCGAATTTTGTCCTTATCCTCTCAAACTTGTCGCCCAAAACCCTATTTAACCCAGCGTTGACTGCAGCGATGCTATCCTCTAAAAAAGGAAAGTTGTCGTAAAACTAGATTTGAAAATTACAGCCGTTGACATCGACTCTGCATGTGTAGAACGGCATGTGTCATGATAAAGATTTCAGTAAAATTTCTGGAATGTAACGAATTTGTCAATCACCTCTATAAAAGTCTTGTATACCCCCTATATTTCTCTGAATGGGGAAGCTTATTCCTCATTTCCGCTCTATAGTTGTTGACTTAGTTGTGTCATACAGTACTATAGGGAAAACCGTAACACTTCGCAGGTCAGATGCTCCTGGAAATTTTGAACCAAACAAGCAGCATGATGTGACAAAAGGAACTGAATGAGGCACAAATGCTGATTACATTTTTTAATTGCAATGGTTTTCTTCGTAATTCTGACGAATTGTTCCCAGGCTATAGCCAACACCTTATGGATGCAATTCTGGCAATCTTGTCGTGTGTGAAAATTTCTCAATTCACTACAAGAAATTTATTCTCAAAAAATATTTTCTGCTTTCTCTTTCACTGATTTCCTTCTGTACTTCTAAGACAATGGACTCACGCGGTTGGATCTGTGCAGCCGGATTTCAGAAGCGGACGATGAACTCGTTTTCCAACGTTTTATCGTCCAGCGCGGCATGCATGCATTGGCAGTATTGGCGATGAGTCTACTCCTTGTGAGGATGAAACGCGAAGCTCTCTACATCGTCGTGGTACCACACTCTCCTTCTTGAAATGAAACTTCTTCTGAACTATCGGTAAGATCTTGTTTGTTTACGACAAGAATCGAATTTCATTTTACGTGGCATCTATTTTGTGTTTTTGCAAAAATGCTCACCGTAATTTCAACGTGCTGTATTTTCATTCGCCATATGTAGCTACACTAAAATGCGGAACGAGTTCTAACGCGCCGGACGTGGAGAAAAGAACCCGCGTGCGACAAGCGTATCTCAAGTCAGTTTCGAGGGAAGCAGAAATCTCGCTTAGACTCATGCCTGAAATGCAAACTCATCTTGAAGGCATTCTCAAAGCAGTGTGATTTTTTTTTTCATCCTTTGAAGGAGTGTCTGTGGCAAAAGTGAGCAATGCGCGGTACGACTCGAACAGTCGCAATGTTTTCTTTCACGAAGACTTGAAGAACTTTGTGGAAATGGGCAAAATTCTGGATCACTTCGAGTTACTTCTCTCCAAGGGTTTTCTTCCTTCCTCTTGTACATGAATCGTTTGTTGACTTCCTCAAGTTTCAGGGCGGCTTGAAGTTTTGCTATTGTTGATAATGCTCAATTGATTTCATCATTGTTCTGTTTTCGTTCATTATTCCAGGACTTACGGGGTTTTTTTTCTTCGCAGTTCACGTGGAATCTTTCGGTGCCCAAAAACCCGAAACGCTTGTTTGCGAGGTCATCAAGATAATGATGAGCAAGTGCACCCAATTTCTGGAGTATTTTTGACGTTACGGAAAAACTCAGTGTTTATGTCAATTTTTGCCTTCTGGTGGTGTGGTAACGCATTGAAATCATTGAAATTCATTTTCCCTCCATATTTCGGGGAAGGGTAATAATAAGCATGACTGACACTATAGAAGTGATTGCATTGTGAATTTGTTGAATGCTGATGGTGTTTCCGACAATGACTTCAAGTTGTACATCAGCGAAGCTGAAGAGATTCTCCGGAAGATGGCCTTGTGTGATTTCTCAGTTGGCAAGTAATCAGGAAAAAAGCTTAATTTTTCTCTCTTGGTCGAATCATTCTCTTGAAACTTCATCTTCCGAATGTGGTTTTAGATAACATGACGAACCCTCAATCATCTCCGAACGATTTTCTCTTGGCTGCGAGCGTTGCTGACGCTGTTAAATCTGGAGACGGTGAAGGCTTTCTGAAAACAGCTTTGTGTCCCGATGATCCTTCCGGCCGAAAGCGGATGATTTCAACAAGCCTTTTCCTTCCTTTGGTTGAACGGTGGGGATGTTCTAACCCAGTTCTGAGACCCCATTACCCAGAACTGGTCGACTGCGAATGGCGTTACAGTATAACTCTTGGAGTGAGTGCATGCTCTTGCTTACCAGGAAAGCTTTTTGAATTCCTTCATCCTAATCTCGACTCCCGTTGAATTCCGGTATATTGCAGGACTCCATTGTTGGCAAGCAGAAGCACCCTTCCTTCTCGTTGGAGTTTACGTCGATTTCAGGAGATTCACCTTCTACGCAAAGGCTGCTGGAATGTTCCTTGCAAGATTTAGAATCCCTCGTGCATTCGTTGAGTGAAGCCGTGTAGCCTGTGTTCAAGCAAATTCCAACTAACGTAGTTTCTGGATATGTTGGTTTTATTTTTAAGGATATTGGGATAAGGATTTGTGTAATGGCAATCTTTCTTAACGGTCTTTGTGCTTTGTTCGTAATCAGTGTGATGAAGAGTACCCGTACGAAATTGCCTTGTTCTCAACTCGTGCGTTTATTTTCAATACATTGATTACCTTTTTTTTTCTCGTGCGCAGTGCAATACTCTTTCAGCAATTATTCTGAGTTCATTACTTGTTGTTTAGCAGGGACTATTGGTGTTCAGGAGTTGGTACACTGTGTAGTCTGAAACCCATGATCCTGTCGAAATCCTTTTTGTTACTGCAAATTTTTGCGCTTACTGGATAGTGTCATTATTGTTCTTATGATGAAGTCGAATTGGGTTTTGTTCAGTTGGTAAAATTTTGTGGGGTAATCAACAAATCAAGGAATATGATTCCTTTTTGCATTGCAGTTGTACAGGCATGGCGACAGGACTCCTATCAGCTTTTATCCAACGGACCCTCACAAATGCGAGAAACTCCGGCCAGTCCGATCCGGACAGCTTCTGAACGTGAATAATTCTCGTTTTTCAGTCGTGCAGCTGAACTCCCTGATCTTTATTGTGCATCTTCTTACATTCAGACTGGTAAATTGCGGCACTTCCAGCTGGGAAAATGGCTGCCTGAGCGTTATGCTGACTTCCTGGGAAAGAAATATGATCCCGCGGAGGTGCACATCAGAAGTATACGAATGTGGACAGGACTCTCATGAGTGCGCAGTGCAATTTGGCCGGAATGTTTCCTCCTGGTGACGATGAAAATTGGGACCTTGATTTGGTCTGGCAACCTATTGTCGTCCACTCCTGACCCACGAATGAAAATATGGTAAATTTCCTTCAGCCTCTCAGTTTTCGTACTGTAGTAATCTACCTCATGAAGAGGGAAAAATGTTGATATTAACTTCTTTGAATGTCAACTAGCCTAAAAACTACTATAGGGCAAGTCCTTTAGCAGGTTTATGACATTCTGGATTTGAATGTGGAGGGCTGGTTTGGGTCTACGGGGTATTCTTTAAAACATGCACCCGTTGAAGTTATGTTATCAGCAAAGCCAACTTCTTTCTATCACTGAAAATAAGCTTGAAGCATGATCTCAACCAGCAGAAACAGGAAACGAGGCAATTCAACGTACAAACGGGAAATGGAAGTAACTGTTGGCTACTGTATATTGATTTGGGACGTTATACAGTAAAATAGTTGGTCACGTCATGTGATAAATTACTGAGGGCTAGATGATGTTGCCGCTGCTGTATTCTGCTTTATACTATTATTTCCTCAATCAACCTTGTCTTGGATGAGGGAATCATTTACAATATTGTGTACAGGATTTTAACCGTTAGAATATGTATGTATACTCGATTTGTATAATGACGACCCGTTCTTGCTGGTTGGGCTTGAAAATAGAGACTTGCTGTCTAAGAATTGCATTGCACATAATCAGGTCACTCTTATTGAGCTATATCTCATGCCTTATTTTCCATAGGATAAAAGTCAATTGCAACAAATTTGACAGATTTTTTCTTTTGAAACAATGTCATATGTGCATGGGGACAGTTGTGTCTTCTGAACGAACTTCATTTCAACCCACTTTTTTTTTTCTTTTACAATATCTCTAAAACAGATTTTTCCCTTCATTATATGCATGCATGGAGAACAAATGTAGTTGCACACTTTGGAGAAGCCCAACTTGTAATAGCGTTTAATTTATAAACCTCATAACAGGGAAGTGCTAATAAAAAAAAAAAAAATTCAGGACTCAATTAAAGAATAATTTCATCCTCCTTCAAGTTTCAACTGACAAGGCAATACTTCAAAAACAAGTAGAGTATGTTTCAAGGGATATTGCTCGTTTACATCAGGGAATATATGCGGTTGTTATAGTGAATAAATGATCTACTACTTACACATGCTTTGATTTTCAGGTTATATCTGCTTATACAGTACATGCTTCCGTCAGAAGAGCATATTTTTGAATAATTTCAAGAAATAAGGGAAGTTGTTGAATATAAACATTGCATTCCAAAGTTTTGAATTTTCTGCGTTATTTTTCCAAAGAAGTTGTGACTGATGATGCCTTTTTCACTTCTGTTTTTCTTATAAACATTTCAGCAAAAACTGTAGGTACACCCCAGAAACAATTGGTTTACTGCTCAGACAACTTTAAAGACCCTGAATGTAATCAAAGTTATGCATTTCCTGCTACTCATGAGGTTCTTTTATTTCCTTTTCAAGTTCTTCACCTTAGTCGTATTTCCTCAACTCAGCAAGAAGATAGCAGGAACTAAACCTTAGCAGACGTGCAAGCGGGTCTTCTCAATAATGACGATAAATATTCAACACTTGGCAAGTACTGTATTGCTATCATGGATTGGCTGCAGCAGTTGTTGTTCTCTGGTGACAGATGAGTCTGTATATGTCAACAGAGTCCTGCTGCAGCCAGACAACTGCAGTGACTGATCACAGGTGCAGGACTTTGCTCTTGGTAACTTGAACAGGCAGTTTGAGTTGGGTCCTAGTGCAAAGCGAATAAGCAGCTAAAGCTCTTGGTCAAATATACCCCCGTATATTGAAACTCCGTTTTCCTGGCTAACTTGGCAGCCACCCTGGCAGTAACTATGCTGCTTGTTCCTGTGGGTGGGTTATACTTGGCTAATCTGAGGCTGTTTTGTGCTGCGTGCTTTGATTTCGACGAAAACTGTTCTGTCAAGTCCCTGTACGGTTTGCTATGGATGGGATCTATATACCTTCTCAGATGACTCGATACTCATAGTCATTCTGCGACCCACAGTAGTAACAGCTCAGATTCTGTGAATAAAGCAGTCCACAGCTGAGCAAATTACTGGTGACTTTAAATTTTTGAAATGAGATTGATTGATGCATGGAAGAAAAGTTGCGAAAAATAGAACTCGATAAAGTGCTGAAGATCAGTTTCTCTGACGGTGGACAGTAGCTGAAAAGTTTATCTTGAAGCTGCAAGATTCTGCATCTTTCAGCTTTATCAAAGAGTTCAAATGCTGTTTAAGGCTGAATATTCATGCAGTACCTCACTTCAGACTGCTGACTCTTTTGAGCTGTCTGGTACCTAAAACAGCTGAAATGTTGAAACAGGAAGAAGAAATGTTATGTGAAATTAAACGAAATATTTAGCCGGGAATGTAGTTGACGCTGGCGTGTTGTAATTGGACTGGTGGACTAGTGTGCTGAGTTCAAGGAAGTTATTAACAGTTTTGAATGTTCCACCCTTGATCTCATCACATGAACCCAACCTAGAATTCCATGTCGCCACTCATTCCATCACGTAGTTGTCATGGGATCTTTGTCAGGTGACTGAAAACTTAGGTCAACTGCGACTCATGACACCTATGATGGACAGTGCTCAGTTTTGGATTATGCTGCGAATACGCGCTAATTCCTGTTGGCGCCGACAGTGAATTATGCAGCTGTGACGCGCAAATTCAAGCTGGCACCAAAGGCAAAGTTTGGGGGAATAATCTGTCTTTGAAGAAAAGATAGAGGGGGGGACCCTTATGGTCAATATAAATCAAATGACAAGTTTCAGGATCAAGATTTTTGTCTCAAGTATGACTTACATGAAATGAACTCAACTTTTGTGCATAGATTTTTTTATTTGGAATTGATTTTTGCTTGGCGTACATAAGCTTTGTTTTTTTTTTGGCTCAAGGGAAATTAATGCATTTTTTAATCTTTGTAAGCAAGATTCTTCAGTTAGTTTTTATTTGATTTGTAATCAACTATTTGGAATTTATTTTGGGCATACTGAGGAAAAGTTTGCCCTTGAGCAATTAAAAATGTACTCACATTTCCTTGCGACAAAGTTTGTGAGGGAGGATCCCCAGAAGGATGGTAATCTTTTCTCACAAACTTCAGCACAAGGAAAATGGTGAGTGTGAATACTTTTTGGCTTTTAGAGTGCTGAAAAGTATTCACTGTGAATTGGATTTTTGGCTGATCTGATCTGATTTTTATCTGAATGTTCCATTGTTCATAGATCCATGCTGCTAGATTGAACAGGATGGCTTGGTCACAAATGGCTTCAAAATTCTGCAAGTGACAGATGGTATTTCATCTATCTGTGAATTATCACCCCATCCCTTCATGCTTGACATTTCTTTTACAGATCTCTTCTGCAGTGGCAAATGGGATGACGAAGTGCAAGTGAGGTATATGGAAGTTGAGTGTTGTTGATATTTTTCATAACATTTTCTTATTTTTTGTGGTCAGAAAGGGCTGCATTGAACTGCAATAATAAAGTTGTGGGGAAGGGAGGGGTGCAAGGGGGGGGGTGGTATAAATTATGTGTGTGTGCATGTGTTGTAAAACAACACATATACACATAAAGTATATATCAGCCTCCATATATATTGATGCACTCGTATAAATCTTTGTGCAAGCACAAAGATTTATACATGTGCATGCATGTGTGTGTGTGCGTGGGTGTTGTGTGTGTGTGTGTGTGTGTGTGTCTCCCTCCCCACAACTTGTGTGTTGATAACACATACACACTTGAATGCATAACACAGGCAGATGGCCTATCTGCCTGTGTTACGCATTCATGTATTCCATTGATTGATTCTATTCTTTGTTCAAGTGTGAAGTTTAGAAAAAGCACACACTATACAAAACAAATGAGAAATTTCTCATGAAAAAAAAACTTGCACACCTGAATGAACCTCCACTCACAAATGTTCTATAAATTTTTTTCCAATCTTTACAGAAGATGCACACACTGTGTGAATATGTGACTTTTCACATATTCACATATTTCCAAAACCATACCTGAGCACTAATACTAGTGTTCAATAAAAAATGATTGCTCAATATATCCAACACCCACATACACCAACTTCACAGAACGTCACATAAGAAAAGTGCATTGCAGAGAATATGCACAAATGTGCAAGCATTTATTTAGTGCTTGTTTATTTTTGCATAATCCAAACAGAAAATATGCATACAAAATTGTATATTTGTTGTTGTTGATCTATCTATTGTGAAACATAAATCAAACCACCTTTGGTTTTTCTTGAAAATGAGTTACACAAACATATTCAATCCAAATATACACAAACATAAGCAAGCCATTGTGAAGTGCAAATATATAAATTCTTAAACGTTTAATTTGTGTCTTACAAGAGATTGTAAAACGCAGATGTGGCTGCTGTAAAAAAAACAACCCATTGAGAAAGACCACTGAAAAAAATATCACAGATGAACAAGTAATTATTTGTTGCTTTTTTTGTTGTGCTAAACCCAAAGAAATGTGTGAACTGATAATTACATTTTTTGTTTTTCACAATCAATTGAATTATATTTTTTGTTTTTGACAACCATTTGTTATATTTTTTTTGTTTTTCACAATCAATTGTGAAAGACAAGTAAAATGAAATATTTGAAAAATCACACACTACAAATGCCATTGTGAAAAACAAAAATTGCACACTGTCCATTGTAAAGCACACAGGCCAATTTAAAACACATACCACAAAGGCCATTGTACACTGGCCTGTCTGGTGTGCAATGTTTGTGTTTACAATACAAAAATTAACACACCACACAGGCCGTTGCAAAACACATACCACAAAGGCCATTGTAAAACACAAAAATCAAAAACCACACAGGCCATTGTACAATACATAAATAACACAACTGTAATACACAAACATGACACACAGGCCATTTTGAAACACACCCAACACAGGCCATTATGAAAGACAAAAACACACACCACACAGGACATTGTGAAACACAAAAATCCTTGACTACACGTGCCATTGTAATATACATATATAACCCAACACATAGTCCATTGTAATACACAAATAAAACACGCAGGTCATTGTAAAACACATTCCACACAGGTCATTGTAAAACACATTCCACACAGGTCATTGTAAAACACACACCACACAGGCCATTGGAAAACCCAAAAGTCACAAAGCACACACATGTCATTGTAAAACACAAAAACTACAAACTACACAGGCCATTTTAAAACAATAAAACACACAACACACAGTCCATTGTTAAACGCAAATATGACACACAATAAAGTCATTTTAAAACACTCAATACACAGGCCATTGTAAAACACAAAAATCACAAACACTCAATACACAGGCCATTGTAAAACACAAAAATCACAAACCACACATATGTCATTGTGAAACACAAAAATTACAAACCACACAGGCCATTGTAAAACACATATCACACAGTCCATTGTAATGAACAAATATGACACATGCCATTTTAAAACACTAAAACACACACCACACAGGCCATTTTAAACAATAAAATACACGCCCCACAGGCCAATGTTGAAAACAAAAATCACAAACTACCCAAGCCACTGTTGAACAAAAATCATATACCATCACTACACAGACCATTGTAAAATCCATAACACCCAATCCATATTGTAATACACAAATTTGACACACCGGCCATTATAAAATACAAAATCACTAACCACACATGCCATTTTAAAACACATAAATAATAACAACACACAGTCCATTGTAAAACTCAAATATGACTAACAGGCCATTTTAAAGCACTGAAACACGCACCACACAGGCCATTGTAAAACACAAAAATCACAAACCACACAGGCCATTGTAAAACACATACCAATTGGCCATTGTAAAACACAAAAATCACTAACTATGCAGGCCATATTGTTAAACAAAAATTATAAACCATCACATAGGCCATTGTAAAATCCATAAATATCAACACCCAGTCCATTTTTATACACAAATTTGACACATAGGCCATTGTAAAATTCAAAAATCACACACCATGTACACAAGCAATTGTAAAACACAAAAATCACTAATCACACAGGCCATTTTAAAACACACACCACACAGGCCATTGTAAAACACAAAAACCACTAACCACACAGGCTATTGTAAAACACATAAATAACACAATATGCAGTTCTTTGTAATAAACAAATATGACACACAAGCCATTTTAAAACACTAAAACACATACCACACAGGCCATTGTAAAACACAAAAATCACAAACCACACATGCCATTGTAAAACACAAAAATTACAAACCACACAGGCCATTGTGAAACACAAAAACATACCACACAGTCCATTGTAATACACAAATATGATACACAGGCCATTTTAAAACACAAACCACGCAAGCCATTGTAAAAGGCATAAATAACACAACACACAGTCCATTGTAAAAAGAAAATATGACACACTGGTCATTTAAAAACACAAAAATCACAAACCACACAGGCCATTT